TTTTTTTTTTTTGTTTGTTTGTTTTGTTGTTTTTTTTTTTAATTCAAGCACAGTGGCTAAGTTTCAAGTATTGAGAGAAAACATATATATACACGTTTGTGTTTGTGTGTGTATCTCTACCCATGCACACACATACACACACACAGCCTTGTATGTATATACACAAACACATACATATATATTGGTTGTAGGTCTGTAAACCACAATTTTTTATTTTTTTTTTTTTTTGGAGCAATATATACTTGTATACATTGAATGTGGACAACTTTTTGATACATTCAAGTAATTAAGTACAGCTGGAAGGTTAGTGCTGAGCTTGCCACACACACACACACACGGGTCACTGGGGCGCGGCAGGGACGTGGATCCCGGGATGTGCCTCTCCCTGGCAGGGAGCCCCCGGGGGCTTTGCCAGGAGGGTCTGGGGTGTGCAGCAGGAGTTGGTATTGCAGAGTCAGTCCTGGCTTGGCGCTGCCTCCCGGTGCTCCCGCCCGCAGCGCAGCCCTTTGCAGATCTGGCCAAAGCCTTTCAGCAGCAGTCTGGGTCTCCTCGGCGTTTCTGTCCACAGGCTGGGGAGGGTTGGTTGGTTGGTTTTGTCTTGTCTTCTTCCCTTTCTCTTTTTTTCCCAGGCACAAGCACAAACGGCCACAGAAGCGGCAGACTGTGGACGTACGGGGTAACAGCGGCCAAATACTGAAGCATTTGTGAAAGCTACACTTAAAACCTCCCTGGTGGGGGCAGTTGGAAATATTTTTAAAAATTTCTTTCTTGGCATTTCTGCTCTGTGAACAGAAACACCCCGTGTTGCAATTGGAAATATTTTAAAATTTCTTTACTGGCATTTCTGCTCTGCGAACAGGAACACCCCGTGTTGCCAAACACGGCGCCAGCTCCAAAACCAATGAAGTTGCTCCTGAAACCCTTGTAAAGTATCACAATGAACGTGCCAACATGGAGAGGGGAAAAAAAAAAAGCAACGAGGACCTAACCACCGTGTGCAAAAATATGTTTTAGATCCCCAAAAACTAAGCCTGAGGTTTCGAGTTGCTTTCGAAGATACTTTTCTGCCCAGCTCTAACAAAATACTGCCACGACTCAGGTCTGACACACTCATGCTCTCACAGACAGATGGGAGGCAGGCAGCTCTCCTCTCACACACATGCTCACAGCACCCGAAAGCCTCAACCAGAACTCGACCCACTCACACCCACAGTCTCATTTGGCTGCAGAGTCTCCTTGAAAGAAATGCTGAACATAAAACTGAACGCTACGAGATTTCTTTATAAAAAAAACCCCAACAACAACGAAGCAGCAAATAAAACTTCTTAAAAAAACGCATTTCCAAGTGTAAGTGTGTGGGATCTTAACGCCTGTTCTTCAGCTCTTAAAAAGCACGGAGCTTTGTATCGACTGTCCTTAAAAGAACATTTAAATAAAAAACAAAACAAATCTTGGTACTGCCAGACTGCAAGTCAGCTTTGCCTGGTGAGGAGGAGGAACAGCACAGACTCTGCAGTGCTCTTTGCCTCACACTCACGAGATACAGTACAGTTAAATACGTACAGTTACACACAAACCATATCAATATCAATATATATTCACTCTCAGGAATACATATTAATATACGCACACACGTAGTGCAATAAAACAACCAGGAAGCAAGGAAAGGAATAAAAAGAACAGCATTCCTAACAGTCGTGGTGTTCCTGGGTTGTTGTGTGATGCAAAGTCAACTTCTCAAAGTTCCCATAGTGTGTAAAGTGCTCCTTTGATTCACAAAGCTAGTGTTTTCAGTCTGGGGGGGCTCCAGGAAGGGGTTATTGAGCCAACAGCTGAAAGCAGGACAGTGCCAGTGCTTCCTCCTGGTAGGGATGAGCTCAACAGCCAGGAGTCTTTCACATTGATCCCACTGGGCTTGGGGACCAAGGGAGGAACGGATTCATTTTGGTTTCTTACGAACACAGGAGCGTCGCGCTTTCCGTCGTCCTCCTGTTTCCTGCACAGTCCCTTTCCCTGTGTTGGTCGCCCATCCAGGCAGGCAGAGAGGGAGCCCACACAGCAGCCATGGGATTTGCTTCCCAGTAGCAGCAGCAGCAGCACGTCCTCTGCCTCGCTCAGCAAGTCTGTGGAGGTGGGAGCTCCTTCGGCGACGCTCAGGCGAGAGGAGCTGACTCCCTCCTCTCTGCCATGCAGGAAGCACTCCAAGGCATGAACACAATGAGAAGGGACAAAGGAGAGAATGGAGGGGAGCCTCCGGTTGCCAGGAAGCTTGAAGATGCCTGGCTCTCAGCTGGGAAGGGGGAAGTACACAAACTGGCCTTTATTTCTGAATGACACCCTCCAACATTAACTGAAGCCAGCAGTTTCAGCACATCCATTGCCTGCAATGGACACAGCACTGGAATACCCTGTTCTTAAGCAAGAGGGGTAGGCAGCAGTCTTATCCTTCAACGTGCTGGGAAGAAGCAGACTTCTATCTTTCATCCCCTCTGACAACGAGGGAGACCTTCCCACATTGGCCATGTCTTCGCCCAGGCCCTCGGGCAGGGAATTATTTGTGCTTGCTGCCGCCACACGTCCCCACAAAGGAATCCGAGTCTGTGGAACAACTTCCCAAAACGTCCAAATACAAAACAGTGAGCAGTTCATCCTCCAGGTCTCCTACTGCCACAGTGGTTTCCCAGCACAGCAGCAGGCCGTTGGGAACAAAGCAATCAGCTGGGGCGAGGTGTGTGAGGAACAACACCACTGAAATCAGGCACAGAACCCCGACAGCAGCGCCGACAGCCTGCGCTCGATGCACAGCTTACCTGGGGGCAAGAAACAACAGCAATGAACTTTCTCGCAAAATAAAGGCCACCAAGCCATGCTGGAGATTGAACAAAAACTGAAAAACAAGCAGCAGAATTTCAGCAAATCCAAGCAGCATTTTGAGAATCGTTACCAGGTACCGATTAGGCCAGTGAAGACCTGACCACAAACATCCTGCTGGGAAGGGACAGGTCGAAGCGTTGAACAGCCAGAGATCCAACAGTGAAAGCTGGGAGGCAGCAGCTCCGACAGAGGTATCAAGATGTTATAAAGAACCACCATCTGCCAGGAACAATTTATTTACTTCCAGTTATTGGAGCGGTTTTTGCCAGCAGGCAACATGACTCAGGGTCTCCAATGCCATTTGCCAAGGCTTACACTGAGAGATGGGTTCTCATCATCTGAGCCTGAGACTCTTTCAGGAGCTAAATGTTTGGTGGAATTCATGCCTCTCACAGGAACACTTGCTGTATTTCTAGGTTCATCGTTTTACATTTCAGAAATATGTAATCATATACCTGAGATCTAAAATGAAATGCACACCTACTTCTGCCTACCAGAGAACAGCTCAATCAGGAAGCTGGAACATGGCAAAACAGGTAATATCAGGATAGCAAGTGGTAAAACAGGGAATATCAGGATAACAAGTGGGAAAAGAAATCTATTAGATGCATTAACAGTATCTCTGGATCAAAAGATGCGATTTAGGTTTGGTAAGAAACAGTACAATAGAAACTACCTAGCATTCCCTATTCACTTCCCCTCCAGTACCACACACCACCTGCCCATTTCCCTTTGCTCTCCTTCAGTGAGCCTCGTGTCAGCTGTGGAAGTTGGTGATAATTAACTGACTGATTGCCTGTGAGCCAGAAGTCCCTCCTCTCATTACCCATCCCAGCGTTCTGCCTCCACAGACGGTGGAGCCACCCGGCAGCGCCCTGGACGAGGCCCGAGGCAGGAGGTGGGTGGGCAGCAGAGGGGAGGGACACAAGGGCTGCCAGCTGTGGCCTCCCCCTGCAGCCACAGGGACACCACTGGGGCTGCTGCAGGTGGGCTGGGATTGCTGTGGTGGAGCAGAGCCCAGGCTGAGCCAAGCTGCTCCCACAGACAATCCCGGCTATCCCTGTGCCCGCCTCCCGCAGGGACAGATGACAGAGGTGATTAAACCCCAGCCATAAGGGCAGGGAAAGTGTGCTCAGAGCAGCGAGGTGAGTCCTTTCCCCTGCACATGGAGTGCAGTGCTGTGGAGCCTGGGGCAGTGCAGAGTAACACCCCTCAGGACACAGGGAGAGCAGGAGAGACAGGACAGCTCGGAGCTGCCTCCAGGGAGGGGAAGCCCAACGGGAGCACACAGGTAAGAGCTCAGCTTTCACTGCTACAGCAAGCACTTACTGATGAGAAAAATACATGTCTGCTGCTTTCTCAGCCAGGCCTGGGGAACCAGGCAGGAGAGCAGTCTTGACTCAAAGATGTGCTGGAAGGAGCCCTGGCTGTGCCGACCGGACATCCCTGCCCGGCGGCCACATTCCCAAGGGCTCTGTGCAATCAGAAGGGTGGTTCCAGCTGGGAACCAAACCCAGGCCCCTGCTGTTGCCAAACCACTTCCTTCAGCGAGTTCTTTCACACATCAAAAGTTCCAACAAAGCACTGGCAATCGTTCTGCATGGGAAGCTCCCAAAATAGGGCTCAGAACAGGGACCTGCACTTGTAACAGTTTTCCTGCTGGAAAAGCAGGAAGCCAGGCTACAAGGAGCTGTAACAAGCCAAGATATCTTTGCTATGTCCACCAAGATGTAGCCAAAGAAAAAAAAAGGATGCTGGGAACTAAAATGTCTGATCCATGCAGCTCCACATATTCTAGTTGGAGGAAAAAAAAAGTCACTAAGCACTCACATTTACTGATGTTTTCTATGTCTCCCTGTTCAGTGATGATGTTCAGGAGCCCCTCCATCAGCAGCAGAGCCTTGTGGTACCTCTGTGCACAGTCCTCTCTGTGGTGGAACATCTCATCCAGGGCTGCAGACTGCACCTGCAGGCAACAACCCAGCAGTGAGAGGTTACTCCCAGAGCACACTCAGCTTTCCCAGTATGGTCCCTCAGCTGGGAGAACAACCCCCCTTGCCCAGCCTCCAGAGGCTGCACACAGCATCACGAGAGACACTCCTGCAAAGGCCACCAGCAGGATCCACAATGCCCAACAATGGTCTGTGCTGACCCTGTCCCCAGGCACGGTGTGGTTCGTACCATTTGCACAGCGTAGCTGAAGATGAGCTTCTCTGCAGTGATGCTGTTGATCCGATCCATGAGCTTCTGTTTGTCCAAGAAGAACCTCTGGAGTCTCACGTTGAGGCAGTGGCAGGACGATACACTGGATTTATAAAGCTCATTCAGCTTCTTCACAACTAAAGCAAAGAAAAGAAATGCTTTAGGCACTGCTTCCAGCTCTCCCTGTGCCTCCCCATCTTCACATGCAGGACCCCAAATGATTAACTGAGAGACAACAGGGTTATGTTAAAGCCAAGAGACTGACAGGAAAGTCCTGAACCAAGAGGGTCCTTTCCCTTTCCTCTATCATCTTCACCAGTTCCAAGCCTACACATGGCAACACCTACACACGTCTGGTTCACCTGAGGCCAGGTCTATTTTTGTTTCCTTCAGCTGTCACGAGGCAGGGAGCAGTTTGCACCACCCAGGATGTCTCACACACCACCAGAAGCCGCAGATACGGAGCTTCTGCTACTTGATGGGTGATGACACGCTGTGAGGGAGTACGTGACTCCCATGTGGTAGCACAGTGTGGATGAGCAGCACTGACTAAGCAAGGGAATCTCTCTTGGGACTCTGCTGGCCCAGAAAGAAAAAAATATGGATGCCTGAGAAATGCCACCTCCTCCTCCTGAACCACGGCAGCTCGTGGTTACGGAACAGAGAATCAAGAATCAAATATGATTCTGAGGGATTAAATAATCCAAAACAGCAAGTGGTGCCACAGGCTGAGTCTCCCTGGCTGCATGGCATGATCTACACAGAGTACTGAACACAAACTCCCACCAACATCTGATGAGTACTAACTCCTACGTTGCACATTTGCTAATCCCCACACTGCATGAAACAAGACAAGCCAGCCTTGCCCAATTCCTACACACTGAAGGGCAAATTACACTACATATCTAGAAGATGCAATCTGCTCTGAAAAGGAGTGATTTATTTGGGTTATGACAACCTTCCTGTTAGTCTGAACTTGTGGAAGATGTGCAGCTAAACCTGGTGTATCTTCCTCCACGCTGCTTGCTACAACATATGTGTGCTCATCCTATTTAACTCCCATTTTTTTTACACCCCATCCCAAGGCAGCACAAATACTTTCAGAGTCTCAGCTCTTGGGAAAGGTGGCTGGTGGGTCAAGTACTTCAAGTGCTTCAAAAAGCTCCCTCAGAAACATTACAGTGGGAGTTTTAAAATTATTTTTTTCTAATCACCAGATCACAGCCAGCTCTCACCAGAGCCAGTCAGATGCAAATTTAAGGCTGTAACACCAGCAAAGAAGTGACTCTGGCATTACCAGTACTTCACTTCCTGTGTTTTTGTTTCACTTGAAAAATCATTACTGCCAGGACAGGTCTTAATTTGCCAAGTAAGCACTTCCTAGGACATGCACTGTGTAATTAAGCTGGGCTTACGTCAGGTACAAATAAGCACCTGAGACAGAGATATATGAGGAATCAGATAAGATACATCCCCCCCTCACTAATTAGTGCTGAAGATTCTCACAGAGCTCTTGAGACAGAAAGTCAATATGAAGAGAGGAACGTTCTCAGCATGAATAAAGATCTGAGTGTGCCAAGGGACAACCACAAATGATCCCCCCATACCAGTGGGGAGTTCACACTCACTCCACCCCCTCCACCCCTCTGTGATGCTTCCATTCCAGGTGAGTTGCACTGTGAGCCCAGGGCCCCTTACCTTGCTTGACAGTGGAGGAGAGGCACAGCTTGCCAGCTTTGATCTGCTCTATGGCCATCTGCAGCCCCGAGGACAGGAGCTCTGCCACCTTCAGGTACAGCACGAGCTGCTCTGCATAGCTGCAAAGGAAGCACACTGCAATGCAGACAGGTGGCTGGGACAGCAGTCAGTGTCCCCAGGCACTGCTGCTACCTAAGGAGATGTGGGGAGGGAGGGAGTGACAGAGGAGCTGGGCAGCTCTGCCCGTCCTTACCTCCACTCCCGGCTCAGGAGGCTGATCTGGTCGGCCACCACACTCTCCTGGAGCTGGTACTCAGAGGTCACTGAGGTGCCCATCTCGCTGGAGCTGCCCTTCAGGGCTGCAATCTCCATCACATAGTGCACGAAGGCCAGGGTGAAGCGGAGGCTGCGCAGGATGTCCGTGTGCTCTTGCTGTTGAAGGGATGCCGAGGTGGGGGTCAGAGGGAAAGCTGGCATGCCAGGGAGGGCTGCCCACCTGAGCTGTGCCAGCAACTCAACCCCAGCTTACAGACACAACACCTGACCCCCCAGACCCTGCTTACACCTCTGCTTTGGGCAGGGACAGCCAAACTCAACCTCGAGCCTGTACCCGCACCAGCTCCTCTTCCACAGTAACAGCAGCAAGCAACAGCCCCAGGCCAGAAATTTCTGGGCAGCTCCCTGGAGAAACTGGTGAGACTTACTCTAAAATTACAAGCCACCTTCCCCAGGAGGATCTCAGCTCCGTGGGGTTCTTTCAGAATTCAGCCAGGAAGGGGGAGAGACCATCTGCACCATGGGCCCAGCTCTTGTTCCCACCACAGCAATGCCAGTGTGGATTTCATGAGAAGATAACTTCTTACGCCACAGAAAACTGCAACCAAGGTGTCTCCCACCCTACATCCCAGCCCTCACTCTGCCCTGGCCTTTATACCCTCCCAGTTCAGCACAGTGAGCCCTGGGTGAGGTCCTCTGAGGAGGAGACAGCAAGGACAATCTTTTCTCTGCAGCTCCTGTCCAGCCAGTGAGGGAAGTGCTCACACCAAGTGCTGTGGTCATTTCAGAGCAGTTTTTCCTCTGCTATTACAAATCAAAGGGGATTATCCCATTTCTGGGAAGCTGCATTGCTTAAGTCACTGCAAGCATTTCTGGGAAGTTAGCATTTGTGGAAAAATGGAATGCTTGTGGGTCTGCAAAGTGAATTGCTGCCTGGATCAGATGCAACTCCATTGTTTGTCCTCTCTGTTGAGAAGTGGGTAACCTGCTTGAGCTTCAAAGATTCACTGGCTTAGTTCTCTCAAAGGGGGCTGGTAAGGATGTTTCCTACATGAATTTATCAGTTCTAAGAGTTTTAGTTTTTCATTTACTGGCTCAGAGACTTGGCTGCTAAGGCAGCTTTGACTATCTGAGTTATGAATCTCTCCTCCCACTGACTTGCTACCTGGACAGTCCAGTATGGTAAGGAAGTGTTATCTCCATCTTCCTCTATTTTCTTTAAAAGCACAGGAGGAACTTGGAGATTAAGTAATTACCAAGTCATACAAGAAGTTTGTGGCAGAGCAGGAAACTGCTGAGATCCTGCAGCTCTCAGCCTCCTATCTCTAACCATCACACAGTCCTTCCTCTCTGCCTATAGAGGCAGCTTCTGGTAACTATGCTGGCACTCATGGCCTCATTTGGCATCACAAGTCTTCCCTTCTGTAGCCATCTCTTTATTGTGTTTTAAACTAAAGCCCAGCCTTCAATTTGCCTTGTCTGCACCTAATGAAACTTTTACAAAAGATGGAAAAACCACCCATCTGAATGCAAAAGCTCTGCTCAAGACAAACAGGGGCACTTAAATAGTGAGACTTCAGTGCCCTGAAAGATCAGCAGAAATCAGAAAACCTGCCAGGTTTGCATTCTGGCCAACTCCACAGAGCACAAAAGGGTCTTCAAATCTGCTGTGAAGGCTTTGTGACATGCAAACGGATTACTGTGCTCAGCAGAAATGACGACTGAAGCCAAATGACTCACTGCAGACATAGAAGCTGCTATTCCAAGATCAAGCTGATACTTCCTTAGGACACTTCTCTTCAGACCAGTGTCCAAAGTGGTGGCAGCTGGAAGGGCCCCAAACTTCTGGGACCTCACAAAGGTAGGATGTTCAGTTAAATCTGTGAACACATCACTGCTGGAAGCTTTAGCCCTGTGGCTTTACAGGTAATGAAGCAAATGAATGCAATTCGATGCATAATTGACAGAAAAAAATGAGCTAAATAAAATCTGAAGTAGAAGAGCAAACCCGCATCCTTCAAACAATGTGTGCATATATCTCTGTGGGCATCTAGAAGTTTTCAGCAACACCAGCAAGTGTCAGACACAAAGAGCCTTCCCCAGTCCCAGACAGCCCAAGGAGGTATCACAAAGCAGAGCCCAAAGTGTGAGTGAATCTGCCTCCCACCTTCACTGCAAATGGGCAGCCTGACCTACATTTCAAATATATCTCAGCTATAACAGCATTTGCTCTGCTTCAGCCTGCAGAGAAGGGAAGCCTGGCAGCCTTTCAGCTCCACAATCTGGTTCAGCTGTTCTGGTGCAGAACACGGTGTTCCCCTCGCCCCCATTAGGAACAGAAATGTCAGGTTTACTTTGTTTTCAGATCCTTTCAGCAGAGACCATATCACTGCCTGACTTCCCAAGAGCACCAGGAGGGCTCCTGATACACTAAGCTACTCGTGTCTCAGGTCAGCTATTACTGATGTTGAGCCTTTAAAAAGGAAAAGGCTCAAAGCAGGCAGGTTTCCTTCAGAGCACATCAGATAACTGATGCTTCTGACCTGCAATTTCAACTTTGGAAATGGTGAATTTTAACCCCAGCCATGGGCTGTCACATGGACTAAACAGTTTGGTAGCAGGCTCAAAAGCCCCTGTGCTAAATATGCTCAGGGCTTTCTGAGCACTGCACTGCCCTTGCTCTCTGGAAGCCAGTTTACTCCACCTTTGGGGGCAAACTCTTTGGCTGTAAACATGGAGTTGTCTGGATTTGCTTTGCTTTTATTCCCCTTGTCCTTGCCCCTAACCAGCCCCTGGGATATACCCACCTCCATGAGCGTCTCTTCAGGCAACTCTGGTGCCTCAAATGTAACAGCACCTTCGAGGTTGGCGGTGATGGGATCGGCAAACGCGAACCGGAGGCTCGAGGGACCTTCCAGAGCCTCCCCACCAGCTCCCACTGCCAAGTGCCTGCCACTGAAGGAGCCTCCAGAACTGAGGGAGCTGGAAGACCCCACTGAGAAGAAAAACAGACAAAGGAATTACTGAAGGTATTAACAGTAGGCCAGGTAGGTATTCCTCACCCAGGAGAGAGAGGACAAGTCTGTAGGATTCAGGATCCTGGATCTCATAGGAGCCAGCAAGAGGTACTTTGGAGGAAGATGCAAGGACTCTGGATGCAGGATGACCACTCCCCACCATAAGCTCCTGACTCAGCAGACCAGCTTACAAGCTCAAGCAGATTTAAAGCACCTTCCAGAATGACAGTCATTTATGGAGACAATTCAGAAGAACTTTTTTTATTCTTTTTTTGTCTAAACCCTTTCTGAATCCTGCCACAAGAACTTGGGCTGGTTTTTATCACACTGATAGAGCCAAGTTCCCCATCATGGAGCAGCATGGTTTGAACCCTGGCTCCCTGATTTTTTGCTCTCACTGTCACTAAATGAGCACCTCTGATAAATGATGGTTTTTAGAACATCCTGCATGCAAGCCAGGAGAGCTTTCCATCACATGCCTGCCCTTCTGCTTCCCCCTCTTTACAAACAGGAAGCTGGACACAGAATCAGTGACTTCAGCTGAGCCAAGACCCTAACTCCTGTAAGTACAGTGTCCATCAGACAATTCCTTCACCATCAGATTTTCCTGTTCTTGACCATTGAATCCATCCTAAGAGCACAAAGGAGTTTTTGTCTCAAAGTATTCATAACACATCCATCACTTCCAGAGGGCTTCCCATCCCTGACACACTGCCACAGAGGGAAACATTCTGTCTGATGGGGGGATGCCAACCTGATCCTTTGGAGGAAGATGTTTCTTTTCTACCCACGAATTTAATTTACTGCCTTACCCTGCCTTCAAAAGGTTCAGCAATGTAATAATGCACAACTGATTTGCAGAGAGGCACAGCCTCTCTGTGTTGGCAGCAATGCTTCAAAGCCAAGTGGCTCATCAAAGACAGGCAGAGTATTTCCAGATCTCTCAGAGAGAGGAGAGGACCTACAATATCACAGTCTGGATGCCCTGTAATTTCAAGAGGCTGTTTGCAGAAATTGTTACGATGATTCATGGAAAGGCTCTGCCTTTAGAACTGTCAAGAGATCTTACTCATGGCTTGTCCAAGCACTTGGGGTGAAGAGTTTTGGCTTGCAAACCTCCCCTTTCCACCATTAACTTCGTGCATTAACTATAACATAAGGAATTACTGCACAGGCCTAATTAACAAAGCTTGTCCAACAGCATTGCTTTGCTTTGGCTGCCCTGACCTAATGCTGTGTGTGTTGTAGGTTCACTGTTCAACAGCCTTCTCTTCCAGGCATCCCATCTGAGATCCCGACTGCTGGGCAGACCTTTAAGCATTCAAATATCAACCTGCTAAAAACTGGTGCTTGGACCTGCTTCCAGATTGCTTTTATCCCTGCAAAAGCAGTTCAGGAACCTTGAATCCTCTATCCATAACACTGCAGTAGTAGCTGGAGGCTGCAGCCAGGACAGTAACCCCTTTGTGCTACAGGGCCCTCACACACTTTTTAAGAGTCTCAAAACTCAGTCTCCAAATAGATGAGACAAAGAAAGGATTGTGGTCCCAACTTTCCAGGCAATCAGATGTGAGTGGTTTTAGTTAGGAGGGAAATTCAAGTCATACACAGGAACTGAGCCCAAATGTCCCCCCATCCCAGTCAAACAGCTTATTCGTGGTCACATCCAAAACCTCCCTGCAGTAATTGAGAACAACAGAGTCAACTACATTCAAATGAGGAACAGCCAAGACAAAAACCCAAACAAGCCAAATATGCAAATAAAAGTGTCCAAATATTTTCTTAAACTGAACATAGACTCCAACTCCCAGACACACTATCCCAAAAGGGCCAATTACCACAGCCCCAAATGAGGCTGACGAGGCCAGAGTTCTGGCATCTTACAAGAAGTATCTGTCAAGCAGGAGTGCAGTTCCCCATCTCCTACCTAGGCAGCTCAGAGCACACATAACACCACTAATAATTTGGCACACAGAGCCATCCTGGCTCTTTCCTAACAGTTCTTGTGCACTGAAATTGGGCACAGATAGTCACACTCATCTTTTATAGCTCATCCAAAACCTACGGGGAAAACAATCAGAACACACCACAGTCTTTACATTTGTTGACCTCATAGCAACAGTGAACAGCTGCAGCATTATTCCTGAAGCAGAGAGCAATAAAGTAAAAGTTTGTCTCTGACAGTACTGGAAAACCACTACCTGGCACTAATGCCAGTGCAAACAATTACCAGCAGTAATGGGTTGGCAGGAGCCAGCACAAGAACCTCAAAGGTACTGAGACCAGCTGAGCTCTACAGATTGCTCTGAGCAGCCCTCTGCCATCACCAGTGCCCGGCAGCAATGAATTCAACATGTCTCTGCCCCCAGGCATTCCCACTGGAACAGGCAGGTAGGTAATCGGCCCTTTACCTGAAAACATCCTGGTCCTCGTGGTCTGTGGGGGGGTTGTTCCACTGGGAGGGGATCCAACAGTAAAAATCACTGGGGATGGGCTGGCAGAGCCCCCAGCCCGGGCACCAGAGTGCAGGGTCCCTCCGTAAGCACCTGAGGGAGCTGGGGAGACAGTTGAAAGGTGCAGACTGGCATCACAGGAAAGTCACTCAGAGCACCGCGTGCCTCGCCCAGCGGTTTGTGTTCCTGCAGACTCTTGGAGACAGTGGTCACCAGCACAGGCCAGTGCTCCCTGTGGAGGCACACCCAGGAACAGGGGCCAGGCTGGCACAGACCACAGGACAGGAGCCTGGGCAGTGTCACACACTGCTGCAGCTGCTCTCCCCTCCTCGCTGCCTGACCTGCACGCCCAGGAACACCCACTCTTGCAGAGCCATTCATACTCCAGCTGCCTGGCAGAAAGTCCCCACTTCCACATGTTACCACATTCAAAAAGGGCCAGAAGAGGAAGCCCTGCCTACAAAAAAATCACACCACTAGCCAGCAATTACACAGCACACACAGCCCACAGACCTCCGAGCGCTCGGCAAAAGAAAGCAAACACCACGGCACTGCTCACACACGGCACTCACTGCCCGTGCCAAGGGACACCAGCAAAGCAGCCTCCTGTTTGCAGGAGGTGTGGAGGCAAACTGTTCACCCCAGCCCAGGACACCCTGCCAGATCTGCCTGGCCTCCCCACCTACCTGCAATTTCCATTGGCTTCTCATTGTTCAGGCTGTCGCTGCTGCCAGCTTCCGAGATCTGTGCCCCGAAGGCTGCCTTCAGAAGCAGGTCAGTGAGCCTGCCTGTGCTCAGAGATCTAAAAAGAGGACATACAACAGGATGCAGAGAGTCAACAGGTGCAAGATGTCAGCTAACTTCCACTTCTTTGTGCCATTCCTGGTCCACAGCCACTTAATACTACACAGCAAACAGTCTGGAGCTGAACTAACCACTCTTCCTCTTTCAACAGAGCATCTGAAGCACCTCCTGCTACCTGTAGAAAGCATACAACTACTGTGACTAACTGCAGTAATGCAAGTCCTCACTACAACATTACTACAACACAATTTGGTTTGGATGTAAAACACACAAATTTGTATCAGAGGACTCCTTCAGATCACTGGAAGAAGCTGCAGTGTGCAGAGGGGCATGTAAGAAGAACTTAACACCAACACCTCAGTGGCTTTGTATCCTACAGTGCTCCTGACAGGCAGCACGTGGCTTTCAAACAGGTCTCTCTCCTGAAGACCTGTGCTCACTGTACAATGGATGAGGAACACTCAGAGCAGCCTCTAACTCATGACAGGTCCAGGCTCCACAGAGATCAAAGCAAGCATGTGAGTAACTGCAGGAGTCTGGTCCAGTAACAAAATCCTGCAGTCAGTCTTTAATTTTAAAAAACCCAGGCCATGGCCTGCCCCTTTAGAGGAAGACTTTTAAAATCTGCATTGTCTCTGCTTGCAATCCAAGGGTGCTAGTAGGTAATTACAGAATATTTACAGATGCTTCATTCCAACTTCAACATTAGCTGGGGTTTGAAATTTGCCCCTTCTGTCCTGTATTGGGGAGTGAGGCACCACTGTATGAAATGAAGCAGACTACAGCTCACCTGCCCTTGATCTCTTCCACAGGCCTCAATCCCAACCCAGTCTGCTGGCAGTGGAAGTGACCCATCTCCTTCAGATCCGGCAAGGTCTTGTTCCGTGTCGGAGTCATCATGACCCCCTGATGGGCCAAGAGGGTGAGGAGATTCTGGGAACTTGGGGTTTTGGGAAACTCAAATGGGGACACAGCCTGAAAAGAACAGAAAAAATAGAGATCTGTCTTTAAAATGAAGGAGGAAGGTTCCCCTTGGCCTCCGTTTGCTTATCAAACTCAAATGGTACATTTAACAACACGCCTGAGATAAAGGTAGAAATCCCACCGCATTTATTTGTCCCTAATCCCAGAAAGACTAAAACAAAAGAAAAATGAACTGCTGAAAATTAGTTGCAGCCCAACATAAGCAGAGAAAATGCTGTCAGGGTGCCAGCTTTGTGTGAGGCACAGGGCTGTCACCTGCTCGCCCGTCTGCCGGCTCTGCTGGGATTCCTGCCGGACACTCGCTGGAGTCAGAGCCGGGTCACAGTGTCCAGAGTGCCCAGACACCACTGGCTCTGATGTGCTCCTGCTAACCAGGGCAGCTCCTTCCCACTGCCTGCCCTAAACCCCGGGCTCTGCTCAGCTGCTGAGCACTGCTGCCAAGTGAGAGCTGTCCACTGAGAACTAGGACACCACCCCATTTCACACAGATCACTAAACAGCTCTCAAAGGATAGCGAACGGGTGGGGATAAATCCAGGTCAGAGTTATCTGATCATGCAGCAGTTCATCCCGAAATAACCCAGAAGATCAAGCTGTGAGAAACCCAAAAGCAGATTCCTGGGCATACCTTTGTAGGGGAGCCCATTATTGTTGGCAAAGGGCTTCTCTGCATGAACTCGGAGAGCTTTGGTGAGGATCGGAGCTGCCGGCAGTGCTGCAAGCCATGAATCTGCAGAGGCTGGCTGACTGGGGTATGACCAAAGTGAGCAACAAGAGGATCAGAGTGCTGCTTGGTTATCTTCTGCCTGCAGGAATGCAAATCCGACAGGTTGGGAGCACTGTGGAGCCGGGAGCCCATCCCTCGAGGAGATTGTTCAGGCGCCGAGGAACCTGGAGGGCCCAGAGTGACAAAACACATCAGTGTCTGGTTCTAACACACAAAGCCAGCCTGATCCCAGCATCCATGGCTCAGACATCTAGAGATCAAAACCTTCAGTGGATGGCTAAGGATGGCACTGAGCAGTGCCACAGCACTGCCAGGCCTGATGAGGTTTTGACTGTACAGAAGGATGAGATACGAACATTAGGGAAATAAAAGTGCAGCTTCTTTCCTTCATTGCCACCCTTATAGGGACAGGGACCTGTTAGAGCTCAGCAGCAAGGAAACTACACATCAAGCAGGCCCCTTGGCATTGGGGTTGTTGGGGGTTTTGAGATGCTTTTCCTTCATTCAATCCATTGACTTCCAAGTCTCATGTCTGAGTTTTTGCGACACAGGGTCTGTCAGCATTGGAAGATGCTGGCTGACAGAATGTGAATGGATCAACCTCAGCTCCTCCCAGCACATAGAAATCCTGGCTGGCCAAGCATCCAGAGAAGCTGCTGAAGCAACACACCCAGCCTTGAATGCCCTGAGACTACAGTTCTCATCCACTGGAGTAACAAAGGAAGGTAAGGACCAACGTACCAGCAACAGGAATACGGCTTCTCACTTCTGCTCCAAGAGAAGATGGGATAACAGTCTGGCTGGGCTGCTCTGGGATTGTTCCAACTGTGAGTGAACACAATAAAAAAAAGTTCAATCAGTATTAAGTTTCCATAGGCAAGAACAGCACTATGCACCACCTGTTTAGAGAAAGATGCCAGTTATCCTTCCATCTTCTCAGCCCTAGCTGTGTAGTCAAAAGATCCTCAACTCCAGTAAAAGGAGGAAAAAACCCTCTGTCTAGTATTAGTTTTTCAGTGATATTAATTCAGAGGAAAAGCATGTGAATATTCTGCATTTCCCCACCAGCAGAGCCTAATAAATACAGGACTGGAGACACTAGGAATATAGAATAGCTTGTTATATCAGTCTGTTCTGTTACAAAAACTAGCAAATTGCATCAGTTGCACACTGGGGTTTTTCTTATCCCTTTCTACTTGAATTGCTTGTTAGCATCTGGATCAGGCTACCAGATAGTCAGTCAAAACTTTTCAGCCTGAACAGTGAAGTTCAAGCCCTTCCAGCACTGGCCAGAATTTTGCTTTGACAATAACTGACTGACATTTTCTCTCACCCCAACCCGAGCCAGTAAAAAGATACTTTGCACTTACAGAAGCCCTCTTCTGAGGGCAGCAAAATGTTTGATGCAGGCACCAAAGCAAAGCTTGCCTCTCCTGGGGCTAACAGGTATTTTTCTTTCCATTTTACTGAGGCCAAGACACGTGCCAAATAATCTGTTGAGAAGAACCACAGGAGAACACACCGATCTGAACCCCCTATTACCTGGCAGCTACATCTGGTTAAAAACCCCCCTCTTTGCAGGAAAGAGGCACGTGATTTATCAGGACAGCAATGTGCCCATTGACATCTTACCTTGTGGTGATGGCATAAAGGGCTTGGCACCGCCAAAGGAGAACTTTTTAGAGCTGGGCACTGATCCATGCTCTCCAGGATAAGGAGGGGAAGCACCAGTCTTGGGAAAACCGAGAGGACTCGTACTGCTGGACCTCCGGACTGTACCAGACCTTACAGGGAACAAGGGCAGCACACACGTTACTCCAGATGCCAGTACAGCAGGGAAAGGAGAACAGCATCACCAAACACACACAGCTACTTCCACAAAAGCAGAGCTACATCACTGTTTACCCTGGATCAAAATCCCACTGTTCCAGGACTACACCAATACAGATTAAGCTGCTAATCTTTGCTTTCAAGAATTTCAGTATAAATAAATGAAGAGGAAGAACGAGGTTAGCTTAGCTGTAAGCAGCAGAGGAGTCATTTTTCAAAGTCACTTTTAGATGCTTTCAGGTATTTACAATGATCCTGAACATGACAGTTTCCTATCTTGCCATGTCCAAGACATTTATTTTAGGCAGTGTCTTCAGAACACTGTGAGAGGGCTTTATTTAAGTGCCCCTCCTGTGCTGAGCCACTCACCCTTCAGTCAGGGCAGCCTTCAGGCAGGAAGCTCTGTGAGCATTGGCTGCATGATGCCAAGGTAAGCTGTGCCAAGGCCCTGCTCTGCAACAGATCTTGGACTCAAACCAGAAGTTACAGAGCAAAACAGAGCAGTGTGTGGCTGTCAGATCTGAACCACTTCAGAACCACCCAGAGGAATTTTAGTTTTTTGGGTTGGACAGTCAGAATTGCCTGGACTCCAAATGCCTTCAACTCCTAGTGAAGCCTCACCTTAGGGAGTTAAAATTAATTTGTACAGCCCACACATGCAGGATCCTTGAGTATTACTCAGCTGCTAAAATGAAAGAGAAGAGGAAACTAGTGGGAAAGTGAGTACAGCCACACCATCAGTCTGGAGAGACATGGGATTATTGCATATTAATTCATTATTTCTCAACATGTTAATGTTTGCACGATCACTAGAACACACAACCTAAACTGAAATGCCATTCTGCCTCTGCAGGCTCCTTCACCAAGATTCCCATTACACTCCTCTATATGAGAACACAGTCTCATCAAATCCTTCATTCTAGTCTCAATTTGGAAACATTTTTTCCTCTTGTTAAAAGAACATTAGTCTCAGCCAGTAGGTGGTTTTCTGGCCAGGAATCAATGAATATGCTGAAAAAAACCCTCTGTGCTCAAGCCACTGCAAGATGCTATCACCAAAGTATCCTGCCTCCTCTCCCAGGGATGCTGCATTTAGCTGTCCATAGGTACCTGAGCAGAGGAACAAAGGTATATGGGCTTCAGCAGTGCCAGGAGGGCTACACTACCCAGGAATGGCAGAGTCATCCTGATGAACTGTCAGTACAACTGCTCAACAACACTCTTAGATGTATATTTCACTTTATGCCACATTTCAGAAAATAAATAAATCATATATTAAAAAAAAATCTATTTCAGTAGTTGATACATAAGAATTTGATCTGCCAACCCCCCTGCCTCTATTCAATGTGTTACCACATTTTGCAGCCAGGTGAATCCATGCTATAGTCACATGCTTGGAAAAAAAGGAAATACTTTAAAATTTTAACCTAAAAATCACTCCTCTTCAGGTTGCTCCAGATTCAGAGGCCTAATGCTCATCAAGTGCCTGGCCCTGAAGCAAAATGAATACACAAAAAGGAAAGGCGAGAAGATACCGAGATATTCACTGGCAGAAAGTATTGCCCTCCCATGTTTTTAACTCTCCAGAACATGAGCCATGCAGAAACCTCAATATTACCTATCAGGAACTTGCAGAAAAAACCACCAGCTGACTGCTGCTGCTGAAAGATGTGGAATGTCAAATGCCACCCTAGGAGACACAGGATAAGCAAGCAAGTAGACAAGCAGGACAGGTGATGTGGCCAGAAGTAGGTATACATAATTATCACCTCAACAAGCCACATATCTGTCCACAAACATGCCACCTTACACAGGCACACTCCAGCCAGTCAGGTGACAGTGGGACACGAGAGCAGCACGTCAAGGTTTGCTTTGCAATCAAATGACTTGGCAAACATGACGAGGCACTTGGCGGTAATGGCCTGTTTGATACACCTGGTGGAAAAGTGGAATCACATACTAGGTGCCTGATGAAGTTTTCTCCTGCCATTCCTGAAGGGTGTCTACTCAATCTGTTGATTAGAGGAAGTGATGGAGAGAGATAAATATGGCATCCTGGGGCAGAAAAGACATGACGCCAGAGATTTTGAGAAGATGCTAAAAGCAGACTGTGAATCACCCTGATTGGGTCCATTCCTCGAGTTCCTCTGCAGGGATGATGCTAATCTCAACATTACACAGTGGTGACTAAAAGGAGCAAAACATGGCAGTTTGATCCCTGACTGTGGCTGCAGGCTGTGAACCTGAGCTCAGCAGCCTGTCACCAGGTCTGGGGTCGGCACGGCACATTCTCCAGAGCTCTCACTTTATACCTCGCAGGGATAACCTCTCACTTTATACCTCACAGGGATAACAGGACTCTTGTGAGTTCCAACACCAACAGAGTCCACAAGTTCTGCTGTAAAAAACACAAGGCACTAAGGAAACAGGAAGGAGTTTACCACAAAACCTGCCACACTCAAAGAAGTGAATATAAAATAGAATTAAAGTAACACTGGCACAAACCAAACCCTCTGCTGATCCCCGATTAATATCAGCATATTGTGTCTCTACTTCTAGGTCCACTTTGAATAAGCCTTATCCTGAATTAGGCTGGCTGAAGCCCAAACTTAGGCTGATGCAGGTATTACCCTACTTCTGAAATCTAAACTTTAACTAATCCAGATACCAACGCAACTCATCCCAGAAAAGACATGACACTTCCTAGACACTTCTTTTTTGAATGGCCCTGCTGTACAAGCTCTTTAAGATCCTCTGTGGGTCTCCTTCCAACCAGCCTACAACCCGGGCTGCTGCTGCCAGCCCAGATTTCAAACCTATAAGAACCAGAACTCATATGTGAGAAGAGACAGAAGCCCTACATGTCATTACCACTGAACTCAGAAGGTCAGCTGTGTGCTGAAGGCTGGCATCTGGGTCCTCCTGACAGCCTTCAGAAAACATGCTCTGCCTCACGGGCACAAATTGCTCATGGCTTAGTCAGTCCTGGCTGCACAACCACGTTAATATGCAACACATCACCTATGGTATGACTGGCTACAGGAACCAATTAAGGTACAGTCAGCTAGGTTTTGCAGCCCCATTCATTTTAGTTGTTTATCTCAAATTTTCCTTTTATAAAGGCACCTGCCAGATGGATGGTTCTCTCTGCTTGGACACCCAGTCCATGGGTGGCATGGGAAAAGCTGTCAGGCTCAAAGGGGCTCAGCCTTCACTCATAGTTGACAGGAGCTTTCTCACATAGAAGCACACAGACAAAATCTACAGTACATGGTAAGAAATAAATCCCAACACTGCTACAAAAATACCCCAAAACACATCCCACTGGCTCCTGACAGGAATGGGGAGAGCCCACCACAGAGGGAAATCCATAGAGGCACAGAGAGTAGACTGTAAAGCAGTTTGTTTACAGACCCCAAGCTGTAATGCAAGAGCCCCTGCACTGGTGCCACCCCTCCAGCACTTACCGGGGAGAGCTGTACGGGTTGGGAGACTGCAGGTTCTGCTCGATCCGACGGTAGTTGTGGATTTGTGTTGGGACCGGAATGGGCACGGAGTGTCCGTACTTGCTGCTGGAAAACTGACCTGGCCGGCTGTTGGAAGGAGACACACAAAGAAAAACTTCTGTAAGGGCTGGGCCTTCCACCAGGTAATTGGAGATTTTATCTTCATACGGCAACTGTACAAAGGGAGTGTCCCCTGGGCTGCGCTCGGGCTGTGGGTTTGGGCTGGGAGGTGATTCAAATCCTATCAAAGGGAAGTGGCACCACACACCTCCTAAAAACAGGCACCTCTCTTCCAGCACGATTCCCACCCACAGACTGGGTTAAAACATACACCCAGGCACACCACTCCCTCCAGGAAAACCAGAGCCCTGCTATTTCAGGCCGTGACTGGCCTAGTTTCCAACAGCTCAGACCCAGAGCTGAGGAGCACAGCACTGAGCAGGGGCTGAACATCCGTGGCTCACAAGGACACCAGCACAGACGCTGCTGACAGGAGCTACTTGTGATTGATTCATGCAGAGGCACCACTGCAGCCACTGCAGACTCTGGAAGTCTCACAGCACAAAGAGAATGCAGTGGTGCAAATCAGAGTATTTGCAAGTTAACTACGGGGAGGAGAAGGCAACTCAGGAGAAAATAAATTTCAGACAGGAGTGAGTATCCATGTACCCATCATAGTTAGACAGAATATCACACATAAAAAGGGGACAGGCCCATTCTGCAAACTTCAGGTTTCTTCCCAGGTCCCTGCAAGCAGGTGAATCAGTTCCCATCTGATACCTGTTCCCCAGGTGATGGTTTCCCCCGTCACTCTTTGCCTGTACACCAGGCTATACACGGACCCTGCTGTACAAAACTCATGCAAACAGCACATTTAACTAAGCAGCTGCCTAAAGTCTTCTTCCAAAGGCCACAGAATTCTAGGATTAATTGCCATGGCAATGCTATTTACAACTGCCAACACCAATTGGGGGGATGTTGAACAATTACAGAAAGATCTTATTGGCAGTGAAGGCTTCTGCAGTCTCCCTTGCTGTCAGTCGAGGACACACGCCTGGGTCTGCCCCTGAGAAGCTGGAAGCATCACTCCTTTGGGCCCTTGATTCTTCATTGACACACAATAAAACAAAGGCAATCAGGGTTTCCAATTGCTCAGCAGAAAGGTGAGGCTCTGGTGTCTCTGTCTTCCATCAGTGTGAGACATGGTGTCATGGCAGACAAAAAGCAAACAGAGCTTTCACCAAGAAATCTGAGGGTTCGTGTCAAGCCTCGTACATACCCTGAGTTTGAACATACATTTCAAACACTGTCTTTTCCATCTGGTCAAAATCCTTTAAAGGAAAAGAAGCTCTTGGGTGAAAGGAGTTATATCAAGTCCTCGTTTTCTTCACAAAGTGCAAGTTGCAAAGGAAATGACCCAAATGAAGTGACATAAACTAAACCTACCAACTGGCCTTGAGCCTTAAAGAATACAACTGACCATAAACTTGCAAAGTCCAAGAGATAAAGCTGGGACAAGGAGTTTAATTACTTGGCAGTAATTAAAAGCTCTTTCAAAACAGTATTAAATCCATTGCTGTGGGGTACATCCAAGGAATTACCTTTCATTAGACTTAATAATTATCTTCAAGGAAGCGTTTAAAAAAATAATTTAAAAAAAAATCAACTATCAGCATATTTTAATTCTGCCTAGTCCTTAATCTCTTAGGTAAGAGCAAGGAGAGTTGTCCTAGAGTGTACCATGACATCCTGAGGAAAACCCACTGCTGGCCACTCTGAAACAGCCTTTGCTTTCTGTCCCACTTGGACTGCAGCCAGCACTGCTTGCTAGCCTGGAGCCACACACAAGGGAGAACTGCTGCTTCTGAGTGAGCAAAGAGAGAGGGAAAACCAGGAGTCCTCTGTGCCAGTGGAGCCAAGTGCTGAACCAAGAGGTCTTATGGCATTTATACAAGGAAGGGCACTGAAACCCAGGGAGGGCACACCTGGGTGGCACCAGTTCCAAGCACTTTCAGGGGACAAGTCAAAGGCCATGGTTTATCCTCTGGATTCAGAGTGACAGCTCCAATGTCTCATTACTGATATCTTATTCCCCATCCTGGACAGAGTAGGAAGGAACTTTACAGTGTTTCTTCAAAAGCAGATAGAAAAGTGGAAAGTAGCACTAGAGGGTCTGGCATCTGCTCCACAGAAGCTGCTGGGAATGAGTAGGAAAGACAGTGAGAGCAGCAACATGTTTAGATCAAAGCCACTGCCATTGACTTGCCACCTTGTGATCCAGTGGAGGACGATGGGGCCACTGTGGTGACCAGTGAGAAGTAGGCAGCATTTGTAGTCAACTTCCATGAATTTCCACTCACTGCTGTCCAGAAGCAAGACCAAATCCTTTAATAAAGACTGATCCCCAGAATGCAAAGGAATCAGTTAAGGAATAAGCTGTTAAAAAGCTTAGCAGGTGATGGCATAAGAAGCCTCATGCAATTAAACTCCACACTGTGGTACGCGCTTGGCAATTAATCTGATCACGTCAGTGAGCCTCTGAGCTATATTATTCTCTGTTAAATTTGTATGCTTTGAGGCTATGTTTTGTCATTTTCTGGGCTCAGTTAATGTGACAAATGTGTTCAACACATAGCCTGGGACTGTATTTTCTTCTTAAAAAAGACTTTAGGGTCATCCATCTCCCAGTGTGAAAATCCCCTTCAACCATCCTCCCCTGACAGGTGCCATATTGACAGAACAGAAGATGAAAGCTGTCCTGCTTCCCTGGCAGGCAAGAACGAGATGGGAAGCAGCACTACCACTTCCCTGCAAGCTAAGCACATACCCTAAGGCTTCCAGGCCTAGAGTCAATGGGATCACCTTCCACAGACCGTTAACACCATCGGAATACAAAAGTGTTTCTGGACCCGCTGGCAGCACTGGGCAGCTGCTCCTGTTGTGTGTGGGCAGCTGTCACCAAGACATTTCTGAAGGCCACAACTGAGTTTAGAGCAATTGGTTTAGCTGGAACTAAACCCATGACCACGCCTGTTTGCACTCATTCCTCCTCCTCCTGCATCTTCCGTTAGTAAACAAGGCCCACGTAGCATTACTTTACAGAGAGACAGTGCAAGGAGCTTTTCAAACAAACCACAAACAACTAAGCAGGCCCACATCTGTCCTTCAACAGCAAGGGGAGATGAGCAACACTCCTCCACACTTGCCCAGTAACTCAAGTCCATTGTACTTTCAGGCTTGGATGAAGTGCTGTGCTCCAATTCACTCACAAATTCAGAAACAAGGGTCCTTAGCTGGAATACTCCACTGAGGGGATGAGTAGCTGATACATGCTGGTGGAGTGCATTTACTTTCTGCTTGAGAATAATCCCTGCACCCCCAGGGAACAGTTAATTCCAGCTCTCCTGCATTCTCTCCTAGCCCCTGCTGAGGGCCACAAGAGGGAGAGACAGGCTCTGGAGTTGGGACTATCAGTGCCCAAGGCTGGGGAGTTTCTCCTGGGTGTTCCTTGTTAACCTTTAATTAAAAGGAGAGATGTGGATCTTTCCCAGCACACCAACAGCTGTAAAATCCCCTCCTGGAAGTCAATGGGTGTTCAATTGTTCAATGCTGCACAGTCACCACTGAACAGTTTTTCCTACCTGGATGGGCTTGGAGAACTGCTGTACGGGGGTGATGGAGATGGTGTCCTTCCCTGGCTTTCCAAGCCTGCTGAAGTCACCAAAGAACTCCTGAGGAAGACAGAAAGAACCCAGCTATTAGGTCCTGGGAACCAGAACCTTGAAGCCCCAGACACCCCGTGGACAATTTCAGTTGCCTTGGTGGCCTTACCCGCTGTACATCAGACTGTCCTGGATTGGTTTCCCTCCTGCAGCCTCAGCAGTTAAATCACCTGAGGAACAAGGAAGTGCAGAAACAGATTAATTCAAGGTAATTTTCTTAAAAATCTTTATACATGCAGAACAACTGAGATTTTGTGTAGAATTTCCTGCCTCTCCAATCCCTGCTGAGTTGTTTCTGAAGTCAGTGTTTTGCAAAATACAAGTGGGCTGAAGCTGATGTCGATGCTGCTGATCCTTATACCCTGAAGTTTGGGAAAATTCAGGCTGAAAGCAAGCCCTTTTGGAAGGGGGCCAAGACCTGACAGTCATTTGGGGCACTAGGTACATGCCCACTAGGTGCTGTGCAAAAGGATAGTGGTACATGCTGCATGTAGGGCTCTGAAACATCCCTGTCCTTTGTGGCAAAAATCCAGGGCAGTCAAATGAGCTGGTAGCTGGATACACAACACAGGGAAGCTTGTGCCTGTGCCAAAACATCGGAACAGTGGGAACATGACTAGCACAAGGCAAGTGTATACTGGTCCCACCACTGATCCCAGGGAAAACACAAGCAACACTGAGCTTTTCCTTATCATAAAGACTGCACAACAGAGATCTTTCAGAAATTCCAGCTCTACCCCTCCAAATTCCTGTTTTATAACAAGTGGTGCAACTGTGAAAGGAGGAATCACAGCATTTATCACCACGTTCCAACTCAGCAAAGCATCATGCACATGGTCAAGGTTGAACAATGTCCTTCTGCTTGTTAAGTAAGGACTCATGCATGGAGATATTTAGGCATGTAGCTGAACTGAGGTCCTGGCTTATATGTACAGATATATTTTCAAGGAATTCCTATCCAAGTATAAACACAGGTGCTCAAACGAAAATCAGAGTGTTTGAAGGAAAAAACAACATATTTTAGTCTTTTCAGGGATGTTTTCAAGTGTGAAATCCAGCCTGCTGGCTGGAATCCTGCCTTGGACTGTGATGCTGAGTGAGACTGAAGAGAGGGTGACATGGGAAAGGTTTCTGTGAAAGACATTTCCCTGTGAGCCTACTTATCTTCCTTTCCAGTTGGATTTCCAGGTTCAACCTCTTACTGAGGCCCCCAAGTAATCTTTACTCTCAAATCCTGTCTTTAAAGGTAATTACAAAATACCCTATGAAACTAGCCAGTGAGACAGATGTCTCTTCCAGATTGAGGACAAAACCATTCCTGCTATTCAGTCAAAACAGAGAGGTTTAATTGCTCTTTCAAACTCTGCTCAGAACACCCTGCATTTCCAGAAACCACCTTACTTGAGAACTGTGCTGGGACCATGACGAAGTCATCTGTGTCACAGGACGAATTCTTGCTGCTGCTCCCAGCAGAGTCCTTAGATCCATGCAGAAAGCCAGGAGAATCCTGGGTAGGAGACGCCAGCGCCTTCTCCTGCAGCTGCTGCTGCATCTCTCCAAGGGACTGCTAATTCAAGGAGAAAACAAACACTGGCTTCAGCACAGCTACTTCATCATTCTGCTCCATCCTTTAAACTGAGCTGTACAAGGCTACAAACAACATTTTGCTGATACACCAGGGCTGATAGTTTGCCAGGAGCAGCTGTTTAATTTACTGAAAAGGAACAGCCTTTTATGTCCCTGTCAGAACAGCGCATCTTTTGTTACACAAAACGTACTTCCAGCGTGTCTGATGCTCCACAGATAAGAAAAATACACTTGAGGTATTGCATCCCTTTCTGCATCAACCACGCATTTTCCACCAACTCACTCCAGTATGGCTGGGAAACTGAGAGGAGTTCTCAGAGACACTCTGGGTTGTTATTCTGAGTTACGTTTTTTGGTTTGTTCTTAAACATTAACCATCTGGTCTGTACTCATGCTTTTGCAGGAAGCCCTTGGTAACTAACATGCAGATAAGTGTTCCTGCACTTTCAAGACCATCTTGTTTCACTGTGGTGCTGATAAAGAGTTAAAGAAAGGCCTGAAGGAGACTAAGCTTTCAGTAGACGAACAGCTCACAGCTGTCAGAGGCAGGAGGGTCCCTAAAACATCCCATTTTCCTGCTTCCTTCAGCCTAATGATGAATAGCCCCACAATCCTCTCGTTCTGCAGACAGATGGAGGAAGCTGGATGGTTTAAGAAAGCTTTAAGGCAGCTGAACTGCCCACGGAGCAGATCACAATCTTTATCCTCATGCATTTCCGGGCTGAGAAAGACTTGAATCAGCTTTCACTTGGGCCCCACTGAGACCTTGCTCACCCTCCAAAGACTCTCCTGCTGTACCAGTGGGGACTCCCTCTCACTGTACATGCAGTACACACAGGCAGAAGGAATTTTCCAGCTGTCAAAGTTGTCTCTTTTCCACCCAATCTGTGAGCTCTGCCCTGGAGATGCAGCGTTTTTCCCAGGCTGAGCCACCTCCATCAGCAGAAGGCAGAGCAGGAGAGGTGCAGTGCACCTCTAATGTAAGACCTCCTCCCAGTCTGGCAGTGACTCTGTACTCACAGACCAGGAAAGCTCAGGAGAGTCAGTCTGCTTTTCACACCATCTGCTCATTTCTGGAGTCTTATGGTCAGGAGGGCTCAGCCCTCCTTTACCCCGGGCTGCTGCAGGGAGGAAGAAGCTCCTGGGGACACAGTTATGCAACATTCAGAGGAGAGCAGAACTGTCCTCTCTGTCCTGTCCACACTGTGAGCACCTACAACACCTTCTGCTAGTGCCTCTCAGCACTGCCCACACCAGGATGAGACACCCTGGCCCAGGGAAACTCAGAGAACAAACTAAAAAAGCTGTCATGCCAGGGAGGAAAAAATTCCATCCTTCTCCCTTCCCTTACCCATCACACCACCAGCATTCCTGAGTTCAAAGTCAAAGGCAGCTTTCACCAAGAGCCTCCCAAAACAAGCTTTCAGTTCAACGAGCTGGAGGAATGTCATTTCAATGGTCAGTTAACATTCTGCCCTCCAGAAAAGTATTCACCATTTCATGTAACCAGAGAGAAAAACCATCAGTTCAGATCATCTCTCACAAGACCACTGGACTGTGGCAGGTCTGGTCTGAGCAAACAGCTTTGCTGAATGTCTCCCTGTGGTGCCTGGGAATGCTGGTCAGAAAGAAGGAGGGTCACTTTGCAAAGAAGGTGGATATCCTGCCAGGCTGCAGAGACTTTGCTTGAAAACAGAGAACCTGCAGCCAAGAAATCAGTGCAATACCCTGAATTAGCAACTGGTTTCAGCTCCAAAGAGCTTTCCATCTCTGCCAAGACAAGCTCGTGTCACTCATACCAACTTCTTTCATAAAGGTGTTTCATATAATAGGCAATGGCACATTGAAATATGTCTTGTGGAGAGACAGCCAACCTCCACAGTCCAAACCCTAAACTAAGCCCAGGCAGAACTGAAGTATTCGGTGACTTGTAGCGGAAGAGAACAAAACCAGAGACCTCATTTCAAAAATACAAACAGGGAGACCATTAACACAAGCAGTGCATGCTCTGAGCTGTACTTACAGGAGGTGATGCCAGGTGGGAAGTGGAAGAGCTGCTGGAGGAACTACCGGAGCCTGAACTGGGATAAGAAGGCATTGGCACGGAAGCAGCTAAAACCAGCAAAAGACAAAACCAAAAGAAGTTGTCAAACTAAGATCGATCAATAATAAAAGGTCTTTCTCATCTTTTCCCATCAGTTTTATCTCATGTACCATCACGTATCAGATGTGGTCAATTGAAGGAGAACAAAATTGAATTAGTCTTCTGTTCAGTTACGTGATTCACATCCCTCCACTCCCTCTGTGCACTATCTCACAGGTCTCAGGACACCTGACCAAGGTGCTACCCAGGTAGTTTCTGCCATAAACATCCTCCAAAGCGTCTTTGCAAATGAAGGGAAAGATAAAACAGAAAAGCAGACTGAGTTATTCATGTTAGGGGCAGAATTCATACCCTTAGAGTTTCTTCCTCTTCAGACCTCGGGGCTTAGCACACACACATCAGATGTGGGACACACCTGCCTACTCAAGCCCCATGTGTTTGCTGCCCAAATGGCCATTTGGGCATCCCAGGCCACGTGCTATTAAAAAAACCCCCAAAAGCCAACAAAAAACCCTCAAGGGGGTTTCCTCAAGCAAATAGAGCATTGTTTCCTACAGCTCAGCTTGTTCTCTCTTGGTCACTTCTTCAAGTTAAAGATGTTTGGGTTATTTACCTCTTTGTACAGAAACTGTTCCACAGCACAGGCCATTCCTGCATCCCTTCCTCTTATTTTTTTTGTTCAATATCAGAACTGCCCATTTTATTCCCTTCATTGTCAAACTGGCTTTTGTAACTCTCACAGAGGCCTAAAGCTCACTCTGAAAGGCCTAGTTAGCATTGACCTTCAGGCAGAAAATATGATTAAGGCATCACAGGAGAAAAGAACATTTATTTAACTCCAATGACTTATGCAAGTGAGGTTCAGTAAATAACCTGGAAGAGCCAAGGAGGGAGACAGTCAAAGGTAACACTGGCTCTTCAAAGGACTTTGAAGTAGTTAGTGGTTCAAATTCTCTGGTCCACACACACAAGACTGAACAACACAGAAGATCCCAAAATCCCCACTTCAAGGCAGCCTGAAGTCAGATTTTACACTGGAACCATTTTGGTATTTGAATGACTTAAGACAGAGATCAGAAGCAATGCTAAAGTGAGGAGAGGAACACTGCTGCTCTTCCATTATGCTTGCAGAGAATTAGCACCTTGTCTCAAATTTCTACCTTTACAGGACCTGTGCTAATGACTCCATACTTATTATAAGGGAGATTAATAACACCTGGAAGAAGAATGCTTCTGTTTGAAGTAAAACTACCTCTGTCATTAATCCCATTAGATACTACAAAGTACTTACTCTATTCAACATGCTAGAAAAATAAAAGTCTATCTCTCTGCAATTAACTATTGAAACAGTGTTCTAAAGATAAAAGAATGGGTAAATATGCCTTTTAATAAAAGGCTTTAGGCAGTCTTTCCATGCAGCCTATCAAAGAAGGTTAAAGGATGACTGGACCAGAGTCTCTGAGCACAAAGAGAGCAATCACTGAGACACTGAATTCCTCAGTCTGAGAGATGTGACAAGATTCAACAACAGCAAAATAAAGCCAAAGCAGCACAGACTTAAAAAATATATTTTAACGTAAGTAATTGACCACTGTAATGGTTTAACCAGGGTCACTGTGATCTCCAGCCTTTGCAAACAGTAACAAAACCTGAATAATTTTCTAAAGAGGTTGCTGTACTGCCAATAGAGACCGATGCAGCAGAGCCCTGGGGCTGTGCAGTGGGAATGCCCAGTGGGATGGCTGGGACAGGCTGGTGTGCAGGGCACACCCTCCTGTGATGGGCCACACTGGCACTGCTCACTCTGCCAGCAGTTTGAGGGTTAGATTTGTAAGGAAATAAATCTTCCCAAAGCTTTGCAAGAGGCTACTTTTTAACTTCTGTATCCATTCCAGACTAGATTTCGTGCACTTGATGGTCTGTGCTGTTGTAACACACTGCCCTGGCTCTGCTAAGGGAGCAGGGACTGGTGCCCTGATGGGTGTTCTGGGAGGTCAGTCAGGGGCTCTGGGGGCAGCCACTGTGCCCACAGCCAGCACAGCTGCTTCCCACTCCCTGCACTCAGGGAACACACACAGAGGTCTGACAACCTGCCTGTAAAACAGAGAGCTCTGTCCTGCCTAAATCACACTGCTTTTGATCTCCACAATCCTCCTACAGAGCAATCTCTAGAACCTTCCCTATGTATTTAATACCAGAAATCTGACAGGGGGGAAAAAAATCTCCCCCCTTTTCATCCTGCCAGCTATTACAGAACAATTCACCCATGTACAGACAGACCTTCCTCTTATGGAAAGGTGCTTTTAAGAAAAGATAAGCAAATTCTGAACTGTATCCAGATGTGCTGGCTGCAAGACTTGAATCACCATTCGTCTTTCCTGGAATGAGTAGTTTTGTTAGAGTCATTTCAGTTCTCTCACAAGGTCCCCTCCAGTCTATTTTGGTCGTGTGATTATTGATTTAAACCTGGCTGGAATTGAGACTTTTCTATTTTTGTCTATTTGCTTCAGACAGCTTTTCATTAATCAGGAGGGAAGACACGAAGGCAGACTTTGCCACTATCATCTGAAAACTCAAAACTCAGCTGCATGAAGCACTCCTTGAGATACAGCCTCTGTTAATCACTGTTCTTACTTAAATCCCTTTGAACTCCCCAAATTGACACTGTAATGCTGTGAGCTCCAACTCTGAAGGCCCTGACACTCCACATGGACTTTGATGCATGTAGAACCATGAGGTTTGGCTCTGGGAAACCCTCTTTGACTTCCACAGCCCTGCTGGGGCATTTTTTTCAGTGTCAGCCATGTAGGACAGCTTGAAAGCAAGACGCCTGCTTCCATCTCCTCCACACACCCAGGCACTCCCAGTTTAAAATTAAAAAGGGTGCAAACACTTGGCTCATCATGTTTTCAGTTGAGTCTGAATGCAGGGAATGTTAACATGAATTGTAGGCCCCCACCCAAATCCAGAAATTGCTGGATTGTAATTGTAATGTAAATAAGTCTGTTTTCATAATTGTCCTCTCCAACTCGCTCCAGCAACAAAACAGTCATCCTGCACATTGTGTAACCAGTGCCAACTGGTTTCCAAATGGGAGAGCTGGGAGCCATAAAGGCAAGCCTGTGCTCCAGCTGTGCAGATCTCGATATTGGATCCTACGCTTGCAAAAAAATCACTTCTGACACATCATCCTGCCAGAGGCTCCATTATCCTAAAAATATCTGACCCTCAAGCTTTATAGAAAAGCTTTATTTGGAATCTGAGTTCTACACGTACTGGAAAGATGCACTTTTCTGATTAACTGGATTCAATTAAAACCAGTCACCAAGAAGTTCTTTAATTGCAATCCCTGACAAGGCAATAACTTGAGTGTAAACTCTGAAAGGACTTGGCAAATAAGTTGCTTTTCAGAGTTTAAAAATCTGCACCATTAAAACCTTCTATGTGCAGAAGTCACGGTGATTTTTTGCTAGTTATCGCCTGTTTTATGTACAATAAGACTATGAAGATGGTAAAAGTCAAGTTAAGCCAGACAGGTATTTAAGACACTGCACTACCTGTGCACTTCTGAACCAGAGCAGCTCACCTTTCATGCTCTCTTAACTCAGTGCAAAGGAGGCAGCAGCTCACCATTCATTAAAGGCAGGAGCAGAAAAACCTCCAAAATATTCTGCACGGGTACCAATTACAATGTGTTTACTGAGAGAAGACTTGCACAAGTGTCTAATTAAGCCTTCTCAAGCATTATTACTGTAACACACGGCCCCAATACCATATGCTGATCAGGCCTGGCTACAGACAGACGACATTCTGACTAGACACCGTATTTTAAAGACTTTATTAATAAATTTTTGCACATCTAAAGTACATGCTTAGTCACAGGTATAAACCCCACAATACAAAATTAATTATAAATAAATAAACAAAAAATAAAGTATACATCTTAGTTAACAAAGCCCAAGGCCCTGAACCACTCTCCAGGCTAAAGCCTGTTGTGAGCAGAGCTCTGTGGTACACCCAGAGTGGCAGAAGACTTAAGTCCCTTAAGTCCTCCACCAAAGGAGGGAGATGAGAGGATGGACATAAGAACAACCATCCCTTGAAAGAGAAGTGAAGAGGGTGTGCTTGTCAGAAATGTATTGAAAGACTTTTGAAAGAAATGCTGATTTTGCTGGAGTGTCTTGCAAAATACACAAATGGATTTCAACGAGGGGGATCACCCTGTCTGAGCAACTTCAAAATTATCTACTTGGAGAATGACCCATACTCGAGGATTCCCCAATTTTCCAGAATTGTGTTATATTAAAAAAACCCTTTACAATTCCATGTGTACTAACAGAGATCCACATAGAACGAACAGCCTGTGGCTCTCACTTCATTTTTGATCACCGTGTTGCTGGTGGCACCTCTCCTGTTCTGTCCTTGTCACCTGAGGGCAGAAGTGTCTGTAAGGCTACAGAGACCAGCACACTCTGCTCATCCTGCAAAATGTTCTCATTTGGACAGGAGGTGCCACACCTGAAAACTGGTTTGGGACCTGAATGGACACATGGTTCCCTGCATGTGCAGTGCAGGCACCTCTGAACTGCAAGGGCAAAGGCTGCACTTTGGGTCCCTGAGCTCAGCTGAGGTCTCAGTGTGTCCATCACAGTGGTCACTACTCCTGGTACAAATCATCCAACAAACACTCCTAAGAGACACTTGCACACTTGGATGTGATGAGTTAGTCCTGCTTCCACTGCAGTCACTGGTGGCCAGTTGTGATCTCTCAAGGAGAACAAAAAGATGAGGCACACTGTTCCTTCCCCCAGTTCTCCACTGGAAGCCTGAGGACTCTAATTCAGCCTGAGCACGACCACCATCATTCAGATGCAGCTGTATCTCTTCTCCTCTTTGATCCTTCCTACACTGGTGATGCTGAGCCACATGTTGAGATGAAGCAGCACAATAAAGCTTTTGGACTCTTAGCTCAGCATGCAGAGCCAGGGAGGCAGCCCCTGAGAACTGCAGCCTTGCCAAGACACCAACTTCAGCTACAACTGTGCAGGAGTCAAGCACACTGCCATGTTAAGCAGCATCCCACACATCTCAGGTGAGCTTTTCTTATGGAGGTCACCACAACCCTGACCTCTGCTGACACACTGGCTCTTCTCTCACCTATTCAGAAATCAAAAGGACCACAGGCAGCCTTTCTCATCCAGGCTCTTCACTGCACTTCCCAGAGGCTCTAACCCATCACTGCCAACTGGCAGCAGCAGAGACCTCACAGCAGACTACAGACCTATCTCCTCCAGTAGCAGGTTTCTGTGCACAACTCCAACATCTCCAGCAATGCAGAGGTACTTCTCTTCATGTTTTCAAAACCAGTAGCAGTCTTTCCTGCCTGGAGAAAACTCCAGGCTGTGGACGTATGTCTGGAGGCGAGGACCAGCAGGGCAGCAGAGAGGTCTGGAGACCCTACCTGTCTGTAAAGGGGCTTTTTTTATTGGCCCTTGACCCCACACTGTTAACCTTGGTGCAGCTGGGGGCAAAGGCTGAGCTACAGTCCCCTGTTCATCATAGCACCTCTGGTTCCTGCACAGCAAGCGGGCACAAGCTGGGAACTGGGGCCAAGTCAGAAGAACCCTCTCTGGTTTGCAGGGGTTTTTCTGCTCCCCTGGCCAGTGAAGCAGTGGAACAGCCGGAGGTAGGAGATGAGTTGGTGGGCATGCAGGAACATCCTGAGGGGGGGATCCTCTGCCCACAGGGGGATCGGACTTCGGAGGGCTTTTCCCACCCAGCAGCAGTGCAGCAGGTGCCAAGAGCTGGGCTGGCTTAGGAGCAGTCCCACAGTGGCAGAGTCCTCTCCTGCCGGCAGAGCAGCCCCGTTTGGCAGGGCTGGCCCCACATCTCGCTGGTGCAGGTGGAGACAGGGCCTTGGCTGCCTTCCAAGCGACCCTAAACCAGAAGCGTCTTTTCTTGCCCGCAGGAAGGTCACCTGAGTGCACAGTTAAAATCTGATCAGGAACAACTGAGAAGTCCTGCTCTGCCAGCAGGAAAGCAAGAGACTGTCAGGAGTGACGTGGACACCAGACAAGGGGTGTCCACCCATGGTACACATCCAAGAGGGGCTCTGTGTTTGTGTTGGACAGGTTTCCTCCAGAACTTCCAGCCCTTGCACTGGGCACCCCAAATCAATCACTGATGAAAATTCTTGGCTCTATCATTCATTTACTGAGGAGATTAAAGGTCCAGGAAGATCCTTCCAGAAGAAGACAACCCTACACAATTCCACTAAGCCAAGGGTCTCTTGGCCAGAAGACTACGATACCCCCCACACCAGAAGGAATTCTGAACTGCTTTCAACGAAAACAAACCTCTGGGCCATAGTACATGTGGCTGGAAATATGTTCAAAGTTATGAATCAAAAGAGGGGAGAGAGAACTTTCAATGGAACTCTGTTTTGACCAGCTCTCAGAGAGTATCCAAAGGTAACCCTTCTACAAAAAGATTTATCAAGAACTTCAAGGTAAAAGATGAAAAATAGTTTGGTAACCAAAGCCATTTCGCACAGACAACCTAAGGCAGCACCTGGCAAGCACAGCCAAGAGTACCAGTTTGCACCATTCACAATCCTGAGTGGTCCTACAGATGAGGATGAAAAGCAAGACCATGATACATAATCCTGTTCATCTACAGGCACCCCACTGACCAAGCACTTCATACAAAGCAGCTGAATACATTTCAAAGCTACATTTGCTTCTACTTCAGGTTTCTAAATAGCCCTCTAATCATCCCTTTGAAGATAACTCAGTCAAATTAAATACATTTTGATGGTAAAATCTGGACATGACACACTAACAAACACTGAATCCCTGCCTAAATAACTAAGGAAACATAAAGCAGTGTTTTTCTTTCCTTTTGAACTAGCAGCAAAGGAAGTCTGGCCACGGTTCAAAAAGAGTTGTAATTGAAAATGCAATACTTACATTTTTTCATAGAGGCACTTGCATCCAAGAATGGGTGATGGAAAAACTCATCTGAAAAAAATCAAGAACCGTGACTCAGTGAAAGGAAATAACTGTAAGAAGTTTACAAAGCAATCAAAGCATAGCAAGTTACGGTGTTTTACAGCGATTTTTCCATGCAATCCAGTCAACCTTGGAAGCTGGCTGACTGCAGTTGTATACAGTAGGGGTCAAGAATGCAGGGTAGGGACTGGATGCAGGACCCGCTCATATAAAAAGGATGGGAAATTATCTGGATCCCTGGCTGATCAGGATGGTGAGTCATCCTAACTGCAGGGATCCAGAGGAACTGTATTTATCACACTGCACAGCCACTCACTACACTGAAGAGGAATGATGGACAAAAAGACCTCCACTGAGTGATTTTCCATCACACACAGACCCAAACCCTGCACACACTGAGGGCAGAAAGGATCACAGCCCAGAACTCCCTCTCTTTCACACCAGACACAACTGCTGCTTCCTCCCCTCTTTAAGGGAGAACATTCCACAGATCCAGGCCAAGAAAAGCTTCTGTCCTGGCTTGCTGGAGACATGAGGACATGTTTGCCTGTCCTCACAAGCAGCCACTTCTCCCAACTCCTTCATCTCTGATTCATTGCAGCTCTGTGCCAGTCCTCTCCTATCACAATCAGCAACTCAGCCTTTTGAGAATGTTAGTCATGGATCAACACTGATTATGGAGCTAACTGCAGGCACTTCAACTTCTTTTCCCAGCATGGATTTCCTGTTGCAACACCCAAGGTTTACAAACTTCTCCTTCTGTAAACAGCTCCTCTTTGGCCAGTGAGCTTTCCAGAAAGTAGCAACTGGGTTTTTTGTCTGCTTTTTAATCTTAAACAATCCCTGTCTCCCCAGCCCCTCCTTGCCACCACCACGGCAGGGTCCTGCAGCCTGAGTGTGGGCTTAGCACAACAGAAGGGATGGAACTCTCTGGCAGGGAAAGCTGGCATCTCACAGATTACATCTGCTGTGGATGGAGAACATCCCCATCCTGGAGGAGCTGCTCAGCTGCTGGAGTTTCCTGCTTCTTCTTCAGATTGCTCCTCTAGAGGAGTGTACCATCCCTCAGCCAAGCTGACTCAACTGAGGGGGTGGAAATGATCATTTCTTTCACTTTTCCCCCTCCCCGCTCCAAACTGCTTATTAGCTGTGCTTGCAAAGTAAAATTTAAATAGCCCAGCTTGTAATCATCAGCAGGAAACTTGCAACTTGAAACCCTCTTGGTTTTCCTCTAGATAATCTTGAGATTGCAAAGACCACCAGTTCCTGGTAGAACAGCAGCTGAGAGACACAACAAGCAAATGAAGTTTCAAGCTTATGTGTTGCTGTTGTGTGACTCAACTAAACTCTGGGGCAGCTCCGTGGAGGGCACTGTGCACAACTCCAGGCAGATTGCAGAGGGCCTCAGGGAAAAAGGAGCAGCAGGAAACCCCCCCCTCTGGGGAGAGTGGCTCAGGAATCATGCCTGACCCAGCAGCACTCACAAATCTTCAATTTTCACCTTACAGAGCTCTGGAGGGTACAGGGGCAGTGAACAAAGGCACTGACCATCAGCCAAAGCAGGCCTTTTGTAAACAGTGCAGGTGAAGAGAACGTCCAGTGGTGAGCTGGGCAGTGGGAGGACAAAGCACTGGGAGCCAGCTAAGGGAAGGGGGAGGTCTGGATGGGATCCAGAGCTACAGAACATGAACAGCTTGTGCACAGCTGGGCTCACACAGTAGCTGAAAAGGTGACACTAAATGGGCACAGGGAAGTGCTCTCATTTACATATTGCTGCTATCTTGGCAAGGGGCATCATCTGGAGGTGGACGGGACCAAGTATACGACTGGATAATGGGGAAGTGGATTGGTCTAAATAAATCATGGTTCTGGTAGTTGCTTTCCTCTCAGCTGACAGGAGATATCAGAATGTGTCATGAGATGCCACACACTCATCAAGATCTGCCTTCTATAAAGCACAAGGAATATCTCAAATATAGGCTTCTCTGCAGATTATTTTCTCACATACCCCTTAAAAACAATTATATTTTAGAAGGATGTGACAATTTATAGAGAAAAGGATCTTGCAGCAGCCAATAATCTCAGTGCTGAAAGTGTTGTCTTGAGTGATATCAAAATTTATTATCTTAAATTTCTAAGTGTTAGACACTGACTCATACAGCCTACTCCCAGGAGGTACAAAAACAGCTTATGGGGGTCTAAAAAGGTTTGGCAGACTCAATTTCTGATAGCAGGGAGTCAAGAACCTCAAGGATACCTTCTTTTTAAATGCACATAGCAGCATGATAGAAGAGGTGGAGATCCACAGCCAGATAGAAGATCTGCAGGGAATAATACTGCAAGGTGCTTCTATCCAAGCCAAGTCTTGCCAAGGGCTTCAACAACTCCCTTATCAAAAGGCTCATTCTCTCACTTCTGCACCCCAGTAACCAGTTCTTTACATTCATCACTGGGTAATTATGATCAGCCTCTGTTAATCCACCCAGATGACCGTCCCCAGAAAGGCTTTCCTGGCATCTCTAATCCAGAAGAATAACAGAGGGTGTAAAACAATTTCTCTTCATCAGCTAACACGTGCTGCCCAGCAGGGAACAATCCACTTGAGCAGATAAGCAACAAAAAAACAACCAAAAACCAATGCCCAAAACACAGAAATATCAAACTCTTTTACCCCAAGTCTGACTAAAAAGCAACATCCTGAAAACACTCAGGACATCTTTGCCTTTAGACGACTTGGCCCTTTCAGGGGCTCTAGGAAAGGCTCCACCTCTGCTTGCTTTCCTCTAGGGCAGGGCTTTACTAGGAGGTTCTTCAGACCTTTTGGCTCAGCTAAAACACATCTGTAAAATGCTGCCAAAGTCAGAACCAGCTGGCTCACAGTGACTCTTCTTAATTTAGAAGGAATTAAGAAAAAAAAAAAAAAATGAAATCTCCATGTCAGCCAAGACAGGAGACAGACACAGGCTCAGGGACTGCCAGGTTGAGCCCTCATAAGAACCACAGCTTCCTTCCACAGAAACCTGGAGGAGGAAAGGGTCTGCAAGCAGCTATGGTCTCCAGGCTCAAATTATCATGGTAGATCCTGAGAAATGGAGGGTATTGACTGAATTGTTCAGTAAATGGGTGCAGCTTGCAGCTTTGGGGGCTATGCCAGAGAAAACCACATTTTACAATCAAAGTTCAGAGAGATTATAAAAGCAGAAGCCAGGAGAGGGAACACAAGTAACAAACACAAGCTGAAGGTGTGCCACATCTCCAGGTTTGCAAAATTGTACCGAAATCAGCACGGACCTTTCCAGCACATGTACTAAAACCCCCAAGACTATGCAGCCCTCAAGGCACACGTGAGATCCAGGTGTCTGGATGCTTCTCCTAGCACCAGCCAGAAGTACAGATGTTTGTGCAGTGCCACAGCACAAGAGACACACAGAGAGGCAGCAGAACTAAGACTGGAAGGAGGTCTTACCAAAGTCCATGCGGTCCTTATGGTTACGCTGCAAAAGGCCCAGCAGGAGCTGCCTCAGGTGGCTTGATGTCTCCCTGGGGATGCTAGGATTGCAAACAAAAGCAAAGTAAGAGACACTTGCAGTCTACTTAAACTGCTTTTACACATTCAGGAAGGCAACTGGCAAATGCAAACTCTGTGTGCCTGCTGGGCCAGGAACACCAGGAGCTCACTGGAGGGAGGCTGAACTGAAACGTCTCTATTTGCATCTCTGGCTTTCACTCCCCACTGTCACTGTTCAGGCTACAGCTAATCTTGCTTTAGTGGCCTCTCCCATGAGCACCTGCAGATCCTTCCCTTCCACAGTGGTGCCAGTGTCAGCCCTCTGGTTCTCAGCTAAGCCCATTAACGTGCAGTATTTTGCACTTGATAAATAAAATCTCTTTCATTTGTGCTAGTGAAAATAAGGAGGGCACTAAAATCAAGCAGTTTCCAAGGGGAAGCTTCCAATTAAGACACTGGTGGTGAAATGTATCATCAATTACTACCATTTTATTAAGTCATTTGTTTTTCAGTGCAGCTTATGTAAGGCTGGCAAGCAACCTTTGTCTATTTGCTTCCTTGATATACACCATTTATTAATTGGAGGCCACTAAGATGTGAGCAACTGCCACCAAAGCAAGCTAAAATTCATGCAGCTATCACCCCACTTTTCAGCACAGTTAGGAAGAAAACACTCTTTTCCATGGCCTTTGCAGTACAAAAGAGCTGTAAATCACTGTGCTCTCCCTTGCCCCACAGGCAGATGGAGGAGAGGCCAGGGCAGCTCTTCCCAACCCCAGCAGACTGCAAGATGCAGGGAATAAATGACCAGATTAAGGCAGGGAAAGCGGAATTCAGCTCTTGCATAAGTGGATTCAGCTCTGCTGACTTCCCTCCATCACCAGAAGTGCTGCTGGGGGCTGTAGTAGCCAGGCTGGGGCAGAGCTCTCCAAATGAGAGCGTGGGTGGTTCCAGCTCCTCTCACTATTAACTCTGTTTATCATGGCTGTGCCCAGCATGGCCCCACGCTCTGCCAGGCTTTTCCCTCTCCCCACACTGGGGTCAGCTGAGGTAATGGCCTGTGTGTGCCCAGCACTGTAATTTTAGCTGCTCAGTATCTCACACGTGGCTCAGGCAGGGCTGCCCTTCACTGGGCTGGCAACACCCACTGCCCTGAGGCCAAGCCCCACTGATGCTGGGAGAAAGAACCCTTCCTACACCATCTCCACCAATCTGCCCTGCCACAGAAAGGGCAAAAACAGAAGTTAGCACAAAAATAGTGGAAGGAGGGGTAAAAAAGGTGCTAGCTAGCACTGCCAGACTCCTGTTCAATGAAACAGGAAATGGGAGGCAAGGTATGTATTTATAGGTTTCAGTACTACCCAATTATTTTACTAGGAAGCCCTAGGCCTTGCTGGGGCAGGAATTTGAACACAGTGATTCCTAGAACAGAGAATGATGGCAAGCATTCCTTATTCTTCTTCATACTGGAGGAGTTGCTCTTCCATCCCTGATGCTAGAATGGTTTAGTTGCCTTCTCAGGTTGACACATGAGGAGGGCCAGCAGGACTCTGGAAGGGATGCAGGAAGACAGGCTCAGTTTGAGCCTCTCATCAAGAAAGTGTCCTTGGAAGCCCACTGTGTAATGGAATAACCCAAGGTACCACAGTGAGCAGTCTCCTGAAAAATACATTAGTGCTGGAGACCTGCAGTCCTGCAGTGTTATCATCATCATTTATTTATCCATGACACACAAAGCTCTCACCCAAAATGAGTCCATTTCCCAGCTATGGCTTTGGCCTTGCTGTGGCTTCAAAGCCAAGAAACAGGCAGGTCAAGCCATGGACTTCAGATGGCACAACACAGATGAGAATGATGCAAACAGCCCGTCTCCTCTTATCTCCCACGTCTGAAGCATCAAGTTTTACTACTCTATTTTCCAAGTATTTATTTTCCAAGGCCACCTTTTTAAAGATAAGTAACAAATCTGCCTTATTACCCCATGATCTGGGATGTACTTTGCCATGCAAACCAGTATGATAAACGTTAGCTACTAAGATCAGCACTGCTAAAATTGTGAGGCCTTTGGGCTCCCCAGAATGCTCAGAACAGCATCTCACCTGTCAGCAGCAGCTGGGTAGGCAGGGACTGCTGGGGAGCGTTTAATGAGCTTTTCTTCCCCACCCCATTCCCAAGCCAAAACACAGCACTTTCCACAGCCATGGCAGGGAGGTGGGTGCCAGCCTGCTGAGCCCCAAGGAAAATGAAACCAAATCCTGGCACTGCTGAAGTCTGAGGAGGTCGTCTCTGGAGTAGTTTTGTGTTTCATCCTGTGCTGGCAGGGCTCTCAAGCAGTTTATTCATGTTTACTCAGGAATAGCACAGATTGCAGCCCACGTCAGAGACAAACTGACTTTGGAAAGCTGGGAATTGCCATTTACACAAAGGCCACTTCAGATCTGATGTCCACAGCAAAAAAAAACCAAAAAACAGTGGGCTTGGATCTAAATTTTGGAGGAGTTTGGTAGTTCAAAAGTGGAGATAAGTGAAAATGGTGAATGCAGGCTGTGCAAAGGACTCAGAGGAGAAGGACTAATTCCTACAAGCACAGACATGCTCTCCTCTTACAGCCCAGTTTCATTTCTCCCCTCGCCTGCACCACGAGCCAAACAACAGCAGGGCAGCAGGATCCACACAAGGAAGCTGATTAGTTGTAGGGATTAATTTCTCTCTTAGTAAGAGGGACTGCCTCAAAGGTGAGCAGCCATGTTTTGGGCTGTTTAGGAAAAACAGAAGGTCTGCTTTCTGCTCACACAGACTATCCAGCTCCCATTATGTGGTGGCATTTTTGCTTTAAATTGTTCTCTTTGGGTGTTTTACTCCCTCAAGCCCTCCAGTTCAATCCAGGAGAATATGCAGATGCCCCAGAGTTAATGCTGGTAGAAATCTGCCTTCTCCCCAAATCAAAAAAGGAAGTACTTAAAGGGAAAGCACAAGTCATTGATAAGAGCTCCAGGTTCTTGACAGTCCCTTCTAGTTATCTCTTGGAGCTGTCTGAACTGATAAGGGAAAACAAAAATCCATATACAGCAACCCACTGAACTTTCTGCATATGTGGCTGCATTAGCAGCTCTGCCAACTTGAAGCTCACTTTCTGCTTAAAAAAGGCCTTCCAGTTTTTGGATATCTTATCTGGAACTTCAGTCCTATCTCTGTACCAGGCTGAGGTTTTCAGAGTAGGCATGAGGTTCTGCTTTAAGAGCTCAGAGATCAAAAGGAAAGACCACAGCAACAAAACCAAAATACCCTGACAAATCACAGCACTGAGCAGCGAGGTAACATACACCCTGTTAGGATGAAAGCAGTTCTCTTCCCCCTGGAAACTGCAGCAGTGTCCATTTCCATGGAGGTTATAGTGTTTCCCCCTAAGAGCAGGATGGACACAAGCAGTTGCTGCCCTGACACGTGAGAAATGGGAATGTGATCTGCAGTCAGGTATTGCAGGTTACAGGAGGGACTGCAGTTTGGCTGCTCACAGGTTTCCAGAATTGCCATGAGCTATTCCCAAGGCTCTCAGCCTCAGGGAAGCCATGTGTGGAACCAGACCACCAGCTGGCTCTTGGAATCACTAAGAATCATGAATTTTTGCATTGCAGGGGAGCAACAGTGTCTGCAGAGAGAGAGAACACCAACTCTGGCTATCCACTGCTGCCTGATTCTCTGGGCCACATCACTGCTGGTATAAGGAATGGGGAAAGGCAGGTGGCCAAATATTTTAGTCAGCTCCCTGAGTGACAAGCCAGGAGCATGCGAGGACAGGTGTAAACACAGGGTAAACAAGTGCCCACAAGCAGCAACACTGGAAAAACGCTTACTTGGGCATCAGCATCTTGTTTTTCTCATAGAAGAGGCGGAGATCCTGTGGGCTGCTGGCCTGTATGGGAGAGAGAAACCAGTACATAAAGCAGTTGACAGTGAAGGAAAGGGATTAATATTTCTATTTCACAGCAGCTCTGAAGAGCAGAGAGGCATTTTTCAATTGCTGGACCAGCACAGACAATGAGAACCTGCAGCTTGCTTTAGACTGAAAAGCCAGCCCTGTGCCAGAGTGAAAATACAGTATTTTAGCCTGCTGCCATTTTGTCCCTGACCTGGTTCTGTCCTGCTCTCCCCTTCCATCACTGCAGTGGGCTCTGATGTTCAGGTTTGAGCTGGCCTAATAGCCTCCCCCAGAAGACTAAATAATTGAATACGTGAGGAGCCTCAAATGGTGAATGGCAGATCCTGCTGGGAACATGGATTAATGCTGCAGGGCATTTAAAAGAGGGGCAGGGAGCCTGCTGATGGGCAAGAGGATCTGTGAAGAGACTGGGAATGTGAAGAAAAAGCAACTGAATTAGGATTTTCTCCTTTAATTCCAGGGAGCCAGAAGGTCTCCAGCCACAGCTCCTGTTTTATTTGTGCAGTAATACACACAACTGCGTGGGATGTTGGATGACAAGATTCCAAATTCTGAGAGATGAGATTAAAAAAAAAAAAAAGGGGGAGGGGGGATTGGCACAAGAGGTTTATGGCTGAGGTTAAAAATAAAATCACCAGTAGAGAAGCACAGACACGTAAAAATCTGCTAACACAAGTTCTCCATTTGTTTTCATGCAATGAATAATACAGGCCAGTAAATTAACCCTAGTGTCTCAAGCTTTCCTGCTTAGGCTGAGTCTCTTTATTAAAGGCAGAGCAGGCTGGCTGGCATGACACAGACATGAAGGCACACATAAAGAGGAGAGGAAGATCACAGAGATTCATCTGCAGTCAATTATTGGTGCAGCAGAGTGTGTAGGAAAGTGTGAATGAGGAGGCAACAGGCAGCTTCTCCTGATGTTCAGGGCAGGCTCTAAAAACCCTCGAGCCTTCCACCTACTTCTATTTCTAAATTAGAAGCATTTAAGGTCAATTAAGATGCTTAAAATGGCAAATCAGACAAGCCAATCTGCAGATGGCCATCAAAATACCACTAACAGAGCATGGCTGGAAAAGCAGCCACATAAAATGCTGTTTCAACATCACCTACTCCCTCTGGGTGAAGATGAAAATTGAGGATAACAGAGCTCGGTAAAAAAACCTCAAGAGAATGCAAAGGAGAGTCTCAGAAGCTGCTAATATCAACACACTTGTGTAGCACTCATCAGGACAGTATTTTTCACACAGCTTTACCAACAAAAGCTTCACAACTCTCCTATTGATTTGTACCAATAAGTGCTATTGGATTCCTAAAGGAAGCAAATAAAGATTTCCTGGTTGTCTTTTCTGCAATAACACACCCTCTGCCATTCACAGACACAGCAAGGACCCAAACAGAAGGTGCCAAAACACCTTCTCCACAACCCATCAAAATGAATGTTCTTCAGCAAAGCACCTTGTTACACAGATGCCAAACTGCACCAAAACTTCCAATTGCTTCCCCTCGAAATGGAAAACTCCGTTTTACACCTTTCCCCTTAAAGTTCTTGGGTCTGTAATTTTTGGCCAACTTTAAGGAGGCAAACACACACTGCACCAAATGGCCTGGCCACACTGCTCTGTGTGATGAAAAATATGCCTGACAGACACAAGGTACAAGGAGGAGCAGAACAGGGAGGGAAGGGCTCATTCACATCAGAGAGACACAAGCCTTGGCTCTGTGCTCTGGTCATTTCCTGTCGCAACAACTCGATTGTTTCACAAATACAATGAGGCTCTGATCTATTTCAAACACTGTTTTGTCAGACATTTTCCTGGCAATAAAGACAGAATATATTAAAAGCAGCTCATATATGAAGCCCAGCTCATTAGAGAGGGTTTCCATGCACTGGCTCGGACAGAAACAAAATCCTCAATGAAGTTCCCCCCCTCATTGTACAAGTTCAAGAGATATCCCCGTAGGGTTATTGTTCCTCCACATTCTGCTTGTCTCAGCACCATCCCCACTTGCTCCTGCACACCCAGCCCATGATAGGCTGATCTCTAATACAGATACTGGGGGAAGAGTCATTTTAGTGAGTGCCCAGCACAGATAACCACGGATCACCATTAATTTGGTAAAAACAACTGAATCTTCACATAACTTTATTATTAATCAAATGAGTCACACATTTCTATTCCTGGCAGAGGGCTCCCAGGCTTGCAGTAACATGCCCACTGCTCTCCTGCTGTCACCAAGCATTTCATAAAGCACTAGGACCTTCAAACACTTTGCTCACCTCTCCTTTCAATAAATAGTGCTGCTCTGAGAATCATGGAAAAAAATACACAACCATTTGTAAGAGAGTAAAAATGCCACTGGAATCCCTTCTTCTAGGAAGCTAAGGACTTAACTTGAAACCAACCTTCCAGGCAGACACACCCTGCCCATGAAAAACACCAGAAAAAGCACATTTTAAGCAGGTAACAACTAGACCAGTCGAGGTACACAGAGCCAGCTGCTACCTGCAGGACAGTATCCATCTGTCAGACCCAGGGACGCAGAACTGACAGCTCAGCTTTCCCCAAGAACAGGAGACACACCAGCAGGTCAATTCACACCCTCAGTCCCCCTCTCGTGTTACTATGGAGCAGCTGCATTGGTGTAACTGGTTCTGTTTTTGTCTGTCCTTTCTATATATAGAGACAATTGGACAAATTCAATCATGCCAGTCTGTTAGTTTGTCCCCAGCAGCAGTGGAAATATGTTGAGCCAACAAAGGCATTCGGCATAACCCTGCCAAATCCCACTCAGTGCTGGCTGCCTGCAAGTGAATTGCATGTGAAAAGCAGGCAGGGGGGGTGTTTCCAAAAGCACTCAGCACTGGATTTGTTGTGCTTGGGCAAAGACTGGATGCAAAAGCCCAGCACTCAGACAGAAGAGGGCCAGAGACATTCACACCTTCCCTGAACAGCCCTGTCTAGTCAACACTTCATAGCAGGTGTGTGGTATCTGCTCTGTTCCTTGAATCCTTTCCTTGGAGATTTGAAGGTGCAGAAAGGGGATTCAGACATGTGAGAGAGAAAAAAAATAAACAAGTAATGATGTTTCTAGCTCAGTAGTTCCACAGAAAAGCTTGAAATCTTGCTGCAAATACCCTCTGCTTGTTAAGACTCCCACAGTGAAGTGGCTGCAGTTGGGGGACCTGAAAGCCCCAGGACCAGAAACAAGCAAACAAAAAACCCGACCCCTGAGCCTTCTTCTTCAGCTGTCTGTGGATGTTTTCTCTCTCTGCTGCCAACAGAGCAGGATGAGACCCACAAACACTGGTCCAAAAGCCACTGACTACAGCAACAAGTCAATCTCTGTGCCCAGTCTCAGCGGAATAAACCTACCACTGCCAGGAATTCCTGTCCCCATGGACACAGGACAGTCCAGAGGAACAGATCTGGGAACAAAAGAGTGGCCTGCCTAACAAATTCTAAGTATAAAGTCATCCCTTCCCTAGTCTTCCTCAAGGCTCGTTCCACAACACGGCAGTTGCTATAAGTGACACATGATCCTGGTACTTATGCAGACAGAATTAACTCAGAATTAAAGCAGTGAACTTGGTACACCAGACTTGGAAATTAATTTTTCACCTAACAGCTAGCTGGGACAGGGACACAAGCAGGCAGATTAACTCTTTCAGAGCTGCCAGACCGGGCAGAAAAACTTGCACTGCCTCTTATGTCACTCCCCTGCTCCCTGGCTCCACAGTGCATCACATCCATAAAGAGCTGGAAGATTCATGCAAAGGCTCAGACAGCAGATAATCAGGTTTTATGGTCCTTAGATGATCTGATGTCCAAGGGGACCCATGCTACTGCCAGAGACAGCTCTGACACAAAGTACATGTGCTTGGTGGTGAGTCTGCTTACCAAGAGCTGCCCAGTTTTAAAAGGGGTCACACAACAGAAAACACCAGAAATATCACTGTGATTCCTCCCCCGCAAAAAGGAGAGATTGAGGTCATTTAACTAATCATATTTAAAACACCATCTGACAAGGACTAGATTGGTTTTAGATTGTTTCAGACCTTGTGTAAATCTTTTCCTTCTCTACCTCCAGCTTTGCTTCTGGTTGTCACTTGTTTACACTGCCTGCACCACCTCACAGGGGGCACAGGCTCCCAGTCTTTTCAGCTCCGGTAAGGACAAGAGGAAACCACTACACTCCCAAGGCACTTCCCAGTATTGGTCAGCATGACCAGGAAATGCACTGTTCAAGTCCTGTCCTCAGCGACAGAAATGCAGAGGTGTAAGTGCAGACCACTTATTAGGCAAGGCAAATTAACAATTCCACATTAGTACAGTGCTCAGCAAATCTGTTTATAGGGATTATGAATCCCATTAATCTCATCCCTATGGCAGTCTCACTGTTTTGTTTATGGGCACGTTTAATACAAAAAGCTCCTTAAGAAAGCTTCACCAGCCATCCTACCAACTGTTCACATCTGAGCATCAGCAGCTTCTTTCCTGTCTGCGTGCAGTGAGGCAGGGAAGGGACAGGAATGGCTCTGGGAAATTGCCTTGGGTGACCCAGCTATAGTTAATTTTAACTCTGAGACAGCCAGAAATCACATTCACGCACATAAACACCTCTGCCTTGATTTAGGACACTTTCTGGATTGACAGCTGCCTCAGCCTTTCCACACATTTGATCTTTTCTCCATCTAACCCATATCCCCATCTAACCCATTTCCCCTAAACCCTATTTTATTTTTAGGCAGCTCCTTCCTGCAGATAACACCGGAGTCCCTTTGGCTTGCAGCCTCCTGGAGGTGCCTGGTTGGCTCATGCAGCAAAACAGCCAGAGCACCCAAATGCAGCATGTTTCATGCTCCAGATTCCCATGGGAATCTCGGCCAGACAGGGATGAGGGGCTGTTCTTGCCAGCCTGGGAGGGAAGGCACGGTGAGGATTTAGCCTGAAGAGGTTAACGTCAGAAATCCACTTCCTGGCTTCCCTGTACAACTGGGTCTGCTGGTGGCACTGTGTGGAATCAGCCTGTTCCCTCCCCGCCCATTTGGAGACATCTCTCCCAAAAGCACTCATTGCTATTCATGGTGTCCCAGTCACCCCTGTCCACTACCCCTCTTTTCTCCTAAAAGCCCTGTAAACAACAGTTTCTCCTTGATCAGTGACCATCAGCAAAGTCTGACAACAGTCATGCCAACAAAGATAGAAAGCCAGTTAACCTTTAACCAGCTTCCCAGCATCTGCCCTGGACAGGCTTCTTTCACCTGGATCTCACAGCTCGAAGGCAATTTGTGACACACACGGCCAAAACAAATAGATGGGGCACAGAGAACCATCTGGGCTGAGCTCCTCTTTCTCCCTGATCAAACAAATCCACAGCTGCTCCTGCACTAACAAACCGGTCTGGCATTGAGCTTCAAAATACAAACTCCAAAAGAGGAAAGGGCGTGGGGAAAAATTGAAATAGAGGAACAAATGACCCCGTTCCCAGCCCAACAGATGTTGGATGTATATGAAAAAGAGAGGTTATCTCATGAGGCAAACATAAAGCAAGGGTCAGGAGCTGCTGGGAAGGGGCTGAAGTGTCCCTTCCCTGCCCAGCCCAAGGCAGGGTTTGCCATGGCTCAGTCACAGGGATGTGGGCACACAGGACTGCTCTCACCTCTGTGTGAGCCTGAGCACACACCTACAGGCAGAACACTGATGGTTTTCTGACCATCTGCCCTTTCAAAACCTTGGCTGGAGAGCTCAGTGGAGCTGACTGATATTCAATTCTATTTCCTGGGGAAGTCTTCTCTATAGGAACAAATGTTTTCAGGAGAAAAATTTCTGTGACATCCCTCAGTGACCAATGATAAAAGCCACCTGTTCTTTCCACAGAAATCAGGTGCTCCACAGTTGTGTGCAATTTACTAAGCAAAGAACACCTATGATAAAGTCACCATATTAAATGGTAACTAAATCATTTGAATGAGCACAGTATCAAGGTGCCTTTAGAGACTAAAAAGCACTAAGTTACAACGGAGAATGAGTGCCAGGCTCTCCCATGCAGCAGTCAAAGCTTGCTTTCTCCTTCCCCACATTTTTTTCTTAAAAGAAAGTAAATATTTGTGTGTTGTCCTAACAGTCATTTTCTCCTCTCAAACAAAGAGACCAACACCAATGAACAGAAGCCATTCAGAAGTTTCAGTGCATTTTCAGGGGTGTTTATAAAAAAAGAAACACGCAAAGAAAATGAAGCCTTGCTCTAAACACAGACCAAGCTGGTGCACAGAATATAAAGCACTGGGATGGAAGATTCTTATAGCAGCAGGGAAAAAATTACCCTGAAGGAGAAAAGTGCTCTTGGCTCTAGACAAAACCAAAACAAACCATTAGTTTACTCCTGTTTTTGCCCACCCTTTCCTGCAACAGATTTAGAACTCATTTTATCCTCCCTGATGATGTAACTGCATAAACATTCGAGGTCTCGTGTGAAATCCTAAAGAGCTGTGAAACTAAAGCTCAGAAAATCTTGCACTTCATAAAATTTGCTTTATTAAATGAGCATAGATTTGTTCCCGACTTTTTTCTTTTTAGTGCCATTTGGTTTTATTTCCTTTCCATTAATTTTAGAGGCTTGGTGGGTTTTGTTTGTTTGGGGGTTTTTTGTCACCATTTTGTTTTGTTAGGAAATCAGGATAAAGAGATGTCAAGATATGTGAAGAGAGGGCCACAGTTCACATGTGCCCTAATGATCTCAGAAAATGAAGCAGCACTCCAGAGGCATGGAGCTGACATATATCAGCATGCAAATATGAGGTCTTTTTCCACAGATTAGAGATTACAGAGCTCACACATTAGAGAAGCAAACAAGTATCAGCAATTCAAGCATCTCTGCTATGCTTTAAGACAGCAAGGAAAAAAACCTGACAAGTCCAATACTTTAAAATAGTAATTGCAAGGGAGATCTTGGAGATCTCATTCAGCATGGAAGAAGGAAAGGAACACAGTGTGGCACACTAATGACCTGGAACAAGAAAAATACGCTGAGTATAGAAGAACTCCAGCTATGTATGATTACAAATATGTGAAGTAATTCTGAAACATGCATGAGGCTGTGGTGAATTTCTCCAGCATTCAAAAATCTAAAATCAGAGAATGCTGTTCACAAAAGATATGTTTCAGCTCATCCAGAAGTTATGACATTTAAGTATAGGGTGGAGTTTTACAGGACTGTGTTGTATTAGGAGGGGTTTGGACCTGATGAACATAAACATTTCAGGCTGGAAGGGACTGCTGTGACATGACAGATAAGATCCTTTTGATAAGATTCTACTTAACTGTTTTGAAAACCAAGTTGATTCAGCTGCAATACACCACCTACCACCAAATCATCCTGAACATTAACCTGCAATTACAATCTTCCTTATTGTCCTTCCATACACAACAGAATTATAATTATAAATTATACACTAAGTACAGCTGTAAATAGGCCTGAAAAAAACCCACTGCTTTAACTGATGCATGGTAATTTTCTCAATAAATGACCCTTCCTAAAGATTTATAACTGAGAAATACATTTCAGTGAGATACAGACCAGAAGAGAGTCATATTCTAGTAACACATCCAGCATTACAACATATAAAGCACCACACTGTCAAGGTGTTGGACAGCCAGACCTTCATGAGGCTGGATCTAGGGGAGCTGACATAATAATGACAGAAGCCTTTGATTAAAGGGATTTCCCAAATTAAAGGGAAAAAAAAGAGATAAAAAAATAAATCAGGAAACAGTCAGAAACATCAGACCTAAGCAACTCACCTGAAAAGGAGCCTTTCCCGTTAGACACTGATAAATGATGGTTCCTATACTCCAGAGGTCAGCTTTGGCATCGTAGTGTTGTGACATAATGACTTCTGGTGCCTTTTTGGGGAGAGAACAGAGATTCCTTTTATAAGAAGATGCAGCTTTTTTTTTTTTTTTTTAGCAGCTTCAAAGAGAAGTCACTATCATGCTTTAAAAACTCTTGAGCTAGATTCCCCAATTACCACAAAAGATTTGCTCCCAATAAGACTGTAACACTATCCTGAAAGGGCCAATTCCCTAACTAAGTGGGGGAAGCAGAGACTTTCATTCAGGAATAAAAGAAATATTCCAATATTGGGTATTTTGGGCAAACTCAGTACTTTCCCTTCTCAGTGCACCATTTTCTGCTGAATCCACCTCTGCTCATAAGAAACCTCATTGCAATGGCACAGACAGATCTTCTCAACTAAAGCAAGGAACAGGTAAATGATCAGGAGCAGCCAAGGCTCACAGGTTAAGCTCCAGCCTCCATCCTGAGCTGCTTCACTTCAGCACTTTCCTCATTTAGCCCAAGATGGCAGCACATTAATTAAGCTCCAGAGCCTGCTGCCAAGGTCACAGTTTGGGTTCAAAGGCAGCCCTCTGTGTTTCAGCCCAACAGCTTGAGCCCTGCTGTGCCTCAGACTCTGGGTTCTAATCTCAGCCTGTGCACTCAGCTGCTCCCTGCCAGGTTTGTTCCAGAAGCTGGAGACAGTGCAAGCCCCCAGAGCCCCATGGCTCAGGAGGAGTGTGCCTTAGGAGCAGCAGCAGAGGGGGGACAGAAGGGAAGGCTGGCTAATCCCACGTGTTTATGACCAGAGATTTCATTGCAGTGCTGCCAGCATGGAACAGGATCAATTTTCTAGCTCTGTTAGAAGTAAAGGCCACATATAATGGAAAAAAAAAAATAATGGCAACAAACAAGTTGAGGACAGGAGCTCGGTTTGTCCCTAAGGGAAGCAGGCATGGCACCAAGCAAAGCCAAGGAAGCAGGACAAGAACTGCACAAGGAAGTTTCAAGTCTCGCATGACATGGATCATATTGGGATTCAGACAGAAAGCTCATTCTGATGGGGGTAAAATACCTTTCTTTTTTAAAACAGCAAAATGAAACAAGCAGCAATAGGCTGTGACCCAAAGGGAGGAATAAGGGCCTGAATTGCCAGCAGATGTTCCCAGAGCTCCTGCACAAGATTCACAATAGCAGCAGGGACAGACTTCAAACACTCCCTAAATCCCAGTCAAACCCTCCCTCCCCTCATCCTCCTTCAAATCCATCAGTAAACACAGAACAATATGACACATTGAGATTCCTTGATATATCCAGAGTTGTTTAAAATAAAAATAAAAAATAAATAGAAAAATATCACTAGCTTCCTCCAACCCTTTCAAAATATAAGCTGAGTGTTTTCAATTATTTTCACAAGCAAGTCTGAAAAAGTACCACTAAAAATAGACAATTCAGGAAACTCTCATAGGAGAAGAGAGTTACATCATCTTCACATATAGCATAGTTCAAATAAACATAAGGTTTCAAAAAAGGGAGAGGAAGTCTGTTTTGCTTAAGTTAGTACTATGGAACAGACTACCAAATGCACCACCCCTGTGCAGTGCAGCACAGTCCAGCCTAACTCTGCCCAAAACAAAAAACTTTAGAGTGGATTAGACAATGTTTCAAATCAGGTGCCTCCTGCCCCAGGGCACCTCTAAAAACTTCAACCAAGTTGACCCACATCATGTTTGTACTTTGAGCTCAGACACCCACACCCACAGGAACTATTACGTGACTACCTCTGACATTTTTATTTCTGTCTAGTTTTGTCATTTTTAATTTCACTGACTTGATGTGACACATTGAGACCTTGCTGCTCCACAAGCACAAATAACAAATAACCTCATCACAACCTGATCCCAGAGTGGGAAGTACAGAGAGGGTGAAAGGGATCAGTTTGGTTTCTTATACACATTTGTTTCACAGTCTAAGAAGTCATCCTGGAAGCAACTGGTTTAGTGAAAGAATTGACTGCAAAGGCTGAGGTGACAGCAGGTTTTTGGAACTGCTCTGTCTCAAAAGGACCTGCTGAAGCAGGGATTTACTGAGGTTCCTCTGCAGGGAAGCAACACCTCAAATAGCCAAATATGTGAAGCATCTCCCCAGTCCTCACTCTTCTGTTGTTGCTTTGCTCATAGCAGAGGAAATAGATTGCACTTCCCAATGCCTTCAGGGGAGAGGTCTAGGTGACCTCTGGGAGATGCAGTTTCTGGGAGCAGACAACAATCAATAGTCCATTTATTTATCCAAAGCTCATCTAAAAATTACATGACAGCACAGGCACCCATTGTCTGACATTACCAGCAGCCAGAACTTTAGGAAGCCCCCAGGTAATAGCTGGTTTCTGACAAGTAAATAAAATTTCACCTTCAGGGGAAAGACGAGAGAAAAACAAAGCCTTGCTTTTGGGGGGCAAAGCAAGAACAACACAGAAAAATGTGTAGGTAAACCACACTTACCATGTACATGGGTGAACCACACAATGTTGCTGCCATCATATTGTTCTGCAGATACCGGGCAAACCCAAAGTCAGCTACAGAGAGAAACAGAAACAGGTCAGGGGCAGACACCAGTTCTAGAGAGCCTGCACCTTCTCCAGTTGATTCTTTCTACTTTCCTTTCACATCCCATCAGTCTTCACAGCACCTGCCTCATCTCAGCAAGGCTTTGATAGCTCTCTTCTTAAACACCAACATCCTTGTGCCAGTTATTAATGCACAGTACAGACACTAGAAAAGGACAGACCAAGCCACAAAAGCCCAGAACAACAAACTCCCATCCGTTTTTCAGGGATAAACAGTCACTTCTTGTACCCATTTGCCTGCACTTTGAACTGTCATCTGGGAGAGCTCTCTTGCCTCCAGTGAGAGTCTGCCAGTTCATAACTAACCAGTTCATCTGCTGCTACCTCAGCTTTCCATTTGGGGAACTGAAAGTTCCCCTCCATTCAAAATGCTCAGTGTAACAGACACCCAGGACAAACCACTTCCCACCACCATCCACACTTCCCAGCCCAGCCCTACTGGAGTCTTCCTCTTTTTCTTTGGAAAGGTTCCAACAGTGTCAACCCCAGCACTAGGACAGAAAGCTGAGCCACAGCAGAAAAGCCAGGGACAAGGAATACCAGGACAAATTACCTCTGCAGGTTACTGAGCATCTGATCATATGATACTTAGAGGTTCTCTCAAGGTTACCAGATATTTCAAGCTATGAGACTGACACTGTCATCTGTCACTAATGAACTGGTACAGCTAGATATTCCCTGGACCATGTACTCCTCAGGGTTGCAGGGTACATCACACCCAAGGGCAGCTGTGCCTGCAGCACTCCTGCCTGTGTTTGAAGCTCCCAGTCCCTTCCACCTCGCAGATAATAACTCTGTACTTCACAAAAATAAATAAAAAAAAAATCAAAACAAAACAGTCAAGGAGGCACCAACATTTCAAACTTTTCCACTGGACCTCATTTCTCAGGTGAATGAAAGCATTAACACTTCTTCCACAGCACAGGGTTCAGGTGAGGAACAGTTGTACCTAACTGGTGTCAGCTTCAGCTCAGGAGCTGTAACACAACCAAAAGCTCATATGTGAGGGTTGTATCATCCAGCACTCCTTTCTGAGAGACCCCAGGGGATATGTGTGCTCTGTAACTGGATTTCTGGAGCATCAGTCCCAACTACTAGTGGTCCATCTGTGCCACTTGCCTGATGTGCAGAACATCAATCTCTTCAAGATGCAGCTGAGAAACCTGCCTCTAAATTCAGTTTGTGAAAACAACCACTTTTGGGTGTGCCTGACCCTGCTCTGTGCTCTCTGAGGCCAGGCAGGAGAGCAGCTACTATCAGGCCTTCAGGCACCCACATTTACCTCAATACTATTAAAAGCTGAAGAAAAAAAGTCACAACTTCTGCTTATTTCTTGGTAAGACTGGAGATTACACGCCAATTAGGGCAGGTTGGTGTTTGTTTTTATTGAGGGAGGCAGGCACTGCTCAGCTGGGAGCAGAACAGGGCCTGCCCAATTCCTTTTTTGTGCTAAGTCTGTGTCCTGGCCGAGCTGAAAGCTTTTGCTCCTCCTGCCTGGAGCCAGCTGAAGGCTACATCTAGCAGAGGAACTCAACGAGGAAAATGAAAAGTGTTAGGGAATTTTAAAAGAAAGGTAGCAATCCTTTTCTCCTCCCAGACAGCTCCCCAAAGACAGATTGAGGCTTGCCACTTATCCATCACCAAACCCTCCCGAGGACGCTCAGGGTGACGTTCCTAACGGGGTCTTACCGATCTTTATGCGGATGTTGTTGGGATTTGATTTCCTGCCTCCAGCGTAGGAAAGGAGGATATTCTGTGGTTTCAAGTCCCGATGGATGATGCCTTTGCTGTGCAGCATTTTCATGGCACCTGCTATCTGCTGGAGAAAGAGCCTGATGGTGTCTTCACTAAGTGTCCGCATAGCTGGGAAGGAGGGGAAAAAAAAAAAATGACCACACATGAAAAACTTACAATGCCAGTTCCCCGAGGAGCCCAGAGGGCAGATTCTCACAGCAATTAGCTGTAATTTGTCATCTTTATTTCCACGTATGATGTCTTTTCCCCACACACCATTTCTGAATGATTCCTACAGGCAACAAGGGAGAGCGTTTGCATTCCCAGCTTATTCTGTGGTCAGGGCTGTTTTCAGCCCCAAGTCTCTCGTGCTGAACTCAGGCCAGCACTGGGTGATGAATTTGGGTTATTAACTGCAGCCAAAAGTGACATTTGGTGAGGTTTAGGGCTTTCCTCAGCAAGAGCTGCCAGCCAGATCCAGACGAGCAGTAGGCAGGGCTGTGGTTGCTTCTGAGCTATGGTCAGAGCTTTATCACAAAGACCAGGTCTAAAGGTAGAGCTAAGAGGAAAGGCAGTTAGGATTAGGATTTATGCCTGCAAGAGTCATTAAGGCTCATGCTGGGCCTGGAAAGGGTTAGTAGGTTAAATTCAGTCAGTTAAAGCACATGGCCAGCAGGGATCTGTAACTTTGGGTATCAATCCAAGTCTAGGCCTAACCTTGTGCATCATAACCTGCTAGACCAAACCAGAACTCTGATCCCAAAGCCAGTGTCTGGGTGAACCACGGTCCAACACCTAAACAACACACCCTTCCAAGTGACCCCTTCAAGCCCTCATCTCACACCCTCCATTGCATCCATAAACACAGCAAGAATGTCTCAGAATGCTTTCATAGGCAAATTTTTTAAAAAGAGTATAATAATCAAAAGCTAATATAGAAGGTCTGAAGTGCCCTCTCCTGAGATATAGGCTTCCCAAGAACTGTAGTGTGAAAATAAACATCGAGGAGATTAAAATAATGTTCAACTGACTCTTCTAATCAGAGCAATGCAACATCAGCTCTCGTTATTTTAAGAACTATATGTATGAAACTCTTGCCAAAGCTGGGAGCAGCCTGCTGAACAAACCCCAGGATCAACAGTGCTACCAGCCTGCCTCCTTGTCAGTCACTGAGCAAATCAGGCTTCAAGCAAGCACCATTCCACCTAAATAAAATCATTTCTTTTGTAAAAGGTCCCTGTAAATTAGTTGGGACTTCATTAGTGTTTTTCCAGCTGTTCTCTAGTAAAGACATTAAAACAGGCTGGCAGGAGCTTCAAAACACCACTCTACCCAGTCAGCTAGAGGGGAGGAATCCTTATGAAAACACAGCTGAGGTTGCACACAGCTTTAACACAACACAGGAAATTAAAAATCTAACTTTTAAAATACGTGCATGGGAAGCAGCAAGGGACACAGATAAGTTAAACAGCACTTAGAATAGAAAATAAACTCCCACCACTCCCAAACCTCACTGTTCTGGGAGGAGGCACAAACACAGCTAAAGTGTCACCAGAGCTATCAGGTGGTCCTGGACTCATACACGTGAGACCAGTGCACATGGACACAGTTCCTCTCCCCTTGCTGGGCCTTCTTCCTCCTGGACTGGCACTCAGCTGGAATTCATGAGACTCCTCTGCAAGAAGGGGAGGTTCTGTGAAGGGATTTTAAGGATATTAAGAGGCAGATCAGACGCAAGTCTTCAAAACCCACTTGCATCTTCTGAAAAAAACGCTGCCTCATCTTTACCAAGGTTTTCCCCAACCTCCTGCTGACTTATCTCAGTGTACTCAGTCCCATACCATTTTCTGCCAGTTAGAAGTCCAACATCTCTTAGCTGTGCTCAGTGTTCTCTCCAAAAAGGTCTCTGCAGTATTTCTGTGATTTCTATTCAAGGAAATCTATTCAGGAATGGCTAAAATACCACCTTTAAACAAAACAGCAAGATCTCCATCTTTTTTTTCCAAATTCAGCTCAGGCCCAGGAACGGGACGGGCTGTCTCATCTCCCAAACACGAAGCAAGGCTTGAAACTTGGCAATTCTTATTATTAAGCCAACAGGCAATTACCAACTCCTGGCTAAATACACCCTGCCTCTAGCAGGGAAACTGTTGAGAGCCTTGTCCTGACCTGCAGTCCCAACAACATGCCACGACTTTGAGGCGTTACCCTCTCCTTTACATAATTTGGTGGCTATAAATCTAACACAGAACTAGCCACCAGCCCTCAGCAAACCAGCTGAGCCTCCCTAATGTGGATTCTAACTCTTCATAATACTGAAAACAACGCTGCTACCAAGATCAGAAAAATCCACTCACCCATAGAAAATAGGGCTTCTAAACTATTAATTTCTGCAGAAATGAAGCTCTTCCGCTCCGCAGAACTCTGTACAAAGCTCTCAGCCCTGCAAAAGTACTGTTTTCTTGGCACACACAATCTTATCTGGTGTCTTGAGCCTGCAGACAGGTTCCCCAGTGCAACTGCAGTGGCAAAGTGCAGCTACCACGTTGCAGTGCAGCAAAATCAGACAGAGGTCTGGATCCTCTGGCAGCATTAAATCCCACAAATCCAGATATGAAGACAGGACTGTGAAATTGAAGTGCTGCCCTCAGGAACAGAGAAGGGACAGTCAGCTCCTGGGGGAGTGCAGGGGGCCTACCCTTTTACCTCCCTCCACTGACAAACAGGCTGTAATACAGGAAACAAAACTCCTTATCTCTCACACTCAGCCCATCAGTCTGTTGTGTGACAGCACCAATCTGCAGCTGAAGGACAGAGACATAAATACAACTGATATTTTCACAGACTTCAGGATATTGTCCTGCGAAAGATCTCCTAGACCAGCTACCAACAGCAGAGGGTAGAAGAAGATACAGAAAATTCATTCAATTTAAGTGCCATCAAAAAAAATAAACAGTGTAGAACAAAACAACTCTTTCCTTGCTGCATCCCAAATAGGGAACTTGTACTTCTGTCCCTGTAAAAAGGGGATATTCTCATCTTCATCAGGAAACTGCTGGCCAAATACTAAGCCTGCACTAAAGTCTGGGCATCCCTGGGGATGTCTGTGGTGAGCAACACATTCTTGCAGAGAGAGCTGTTTCACAAGCCCTACTTTGCCATGACTGAGAAGCAATAATATCCCTGTGTTTATTTTCATGGGCTCCACTTCAGTGAGGAGGCACTCTGCCTTCTGCCTTGGGAACAGCGGCTGCACAGGTCAGGAGATCACAGCAAATATTTACTCTGGGTCAGTGTGGGGCCTCTGTGCCTTGTAGCTCTTGAGGTGCAGAAAAAGGATGAAACAACCTAAGAAGTGCCCTGGTCAGCCTGTGCTGAGATGTTCAACCTGCAGGAGGCTGCCAGGTAAACTGTAGTAAACTGTAGTAAACACCCCTTGTCAGCTGATCCAAGAGTAGGTGCACTGGAGTACACCCACTGATGTTACATTACAACACCATTCTGGAAAAGTTATTTAGGAAAAAGAACATCTCCTGTTACCCACAGGTGTCACAAGTATCTCTAACATGGCCCCAATCCAAATCACACTGAAGCCTGAGATGAAGCTGATTTATTTGGGGCCTGACTTGTACCTACCCCAGAGTTCCACTCATGCACAGCATGGCCAGTGGGACCCCTGTGAAGTCTTCTGTACAAGTCAGGAGATTTATTCATGATAGGCCAAGTCCTGTCATAGATATTTCTTAATTACCTGGCTGCAGAGGGGAAAAAAGGTACACAGTAGTGCTTCACACCTCTGGTTTGCAAAAGGATCCCACTTGGGATGGACTAGAAGGATCACAGCTCCCTGCATCTGTTGTGGTCAAGTCAAGAAATATCCTGCTCTGATACAAAAGAAACAGCTTGGAGAAAGGTCAAAAATACTCTCTTGTGAAGTGCCCACAACAGCCTGTGTCAATGCCAACTCACAGAATTTAAGAAGGAATTTTAGACCAGCCTGCTCTGACCTCCTAAGTACCTGAGGACACAGAATTCCAGTTATTCCTGTACAGAGGATGGTCACTTCTGTAACAGTCCCCACAGCTGTACCACACACAGCAGAGATCTGCCACTCTCGGCTCAAAACATCCCCTGATGGGCTTAATTTAAACCAACATGCATAGAGATCTCCCAAGAGGGAAACTGCATTGTACCACTGAAGGACAACACCAGAGAAGCTGTGCTGAGACACAACCTTGGGTTGCACCCAAGAGATGGGTCTGGCCAACAGCACTGCAACGTGCACACATGCACGTCCTCCAGTTATGAAGACAAGGAGAATTAGAGTGCCTTTGGATTCAACATGGAATTACCATATTGCCTAATGCCTGTAATTAGAGGGCAGAATGGATCGGGAAGCTTACAAGCAGCTCATTCAATGAGAACAGGGGATTTGCATGCACAGCTTGGTTAAAGTGTTACAGGAACTACCAGCACAAATGTCTGAGGAGCCAGTGGAAAGGAGATCTGCAATTAAACACCCTCACACAATTATCAAAATAACTGAAGCAGCACAATAACTGCTCCATAGAGATGAGCCTCCTGCATAGCACTGAAACACCCTGGCAGAAATCTAAACTTTCCAAGATGAGCATTCAGTAAAAGAATCACTCCTGTCAAAAGCACCCTGAGCGCCTGCAGAAGCTGGAAGAGGAGATACCCCAAAGGAGAGTGCAGTGGAATGGAGAAAGCTGACACTCACATGTAGGCTTTGGGATCTGGAAGACCCAGATCTCTGTAGCAGTGATGGAAGTAACTAACTGCAGTCCCTTACTGACTCCTCCCTCTGGAAATCAGTGCCTGCTGGGTTCTCTTCACTGGCAACCAGCAAGCAAACAGATGTTAAGAGTTAAAATAAAAGTAAGCACCAGTTTCCCAGTCACAACAGCTGCTCTTTAGAGTTGTCACGGTAATGTATTTTATTGGTAAAAAACAGAGCTAAAGGTTAACGTTCTCAATTTAATTCAGGCAGAGAAGGATCAAATCATACCCCAGGCAACACTCAAACAAACCCAGTTGGGGTAAAACTGAATTTTATTTGGAAAATAAAATTCACTATCGCTTTCTCAAACTAACCACCAACTTCCCAAGTAATCTCAATTGATGAAGAAGGAACTGAGCTGTATTAACAGCTCAGTTAACTGCACGCTTCACTTTTTTCTTGGGGTTTTTTTGGTGATGGGGGTTGGCTGAAGGGAGAAGAAGACAATGCACACACAGAAGCAGCAGTATGAACAGAAAGATTTTCTACAAATCCCTGTTTCTGTAAGCCATTTGGCCAGAAGCTGTGTTCTTGCTTACCCACACAGCTTTGCCAACAAGAGTGCACAGCCCAGTAAGATTCATTTAGTGGGTATGAAAGCTAAAAACTTTGGCTTTCAAAGCCCATGCATTGGTAAAACTGAAGTTTCACTATTTTTAAAAAGCATTTTATGAATAAAATTTGCACTTGTATTCAAAGAGAAAAAGAAGGCACCAAATACAAAAGCACCCTCAGTGTTCATAAGTGTTCCACCACAGAAACACTCCTTTTAAAGCACAGCAATACCCAACAGATGCAAAACACCATCACTTATCTAAGACAAAGCACACTAAACCTGCATTTTAAAAACCAAATGCCTGTTACTTCTCTCTCACCCACATTTTAAACAAATGAAACACAGGAAATATTCCTTTTTTTCCCCTTCAAGTAATAAATTCTTTCTGAAAATTGAAGTCCACAAGCATAATTCATTAGCCTGCATAAATAGAGTGCAACATGCTAGCATCAAGGCCCAAATAAACATTCTAGGGATACCAACACTAGCTGTGGGGCAAATGTAAATTTAGCTTTTAATCCTTCAATTTCTGCCATTTCCAGGCATCACACACCTCAATAAGGAGCCTGAAATATTATCCAGTTGACTAGCTTTTAATTTGAACAATGTGAACAAACTTTGTTTAACCATGACCCAGAGCCACACATAAAATGAGATTAAACTTGTCTCTTTACATTTAGTAATCTTCTAGTTAACATGCAAAACATCAAGAAAGCAACTTTAAAGGAAAAAAATTCAGTCAGGGCAACAAAAAATAAAAGGCTGTGTCTGACTGCCGCTAAGTAAATTGTTAAACGTGTTATTCTATTTATTTTAGGTACTCAGGAGCAAGGTGATTGTCTCAAAGGCCAGGATCCTGTACCTTTGCCATGTGCTCCACTGAAAAATACCTTGGGAGACTGCAGCCTGAGTCCCAGCAATAGAGCTGGCAAAGCATTTTTCATTTGGTTTGATGGCAGAGACACCCTTGAGTCTCATAAAAAATTATTCAAGGCACCACAGTCCCAGGTACCTGTGCTGTAGTCTCCACATGACCCTGAACTCAGTAGTTTCTGTCACCCCCACAGCACTAGTGGCTACATTACAGTCACCCTCAATACACTGAAATAGAAAATGTGTTCTGCCCTAGATGTGGGAACACCCTTGGGGTAAACTTAAAGAATGTGAAATATACTCGTGGGATCTTATTTTAATCCGACCCTACAGGACTGCAAAGCTCCAGTATAAATAGCTTTTTGCCAGTGACCAAGAAAAGACAAACTGTGTCCCCAGCAGTGTTGAAATATGTTTAACCTGTAAGGCCATTGTAACTAAAATACATAACTACTGACAACAGTCACTACTGACCTGTATAGAAAGCACTATAAAACCAGCTTTTATTGTGATGGATTCTCAGTGTTCAAATGATTACCAAGGGTGAACCTCTCAGAAGAGGGGCAGTGATACTCTTTATTTTGCAGGAATTTAAAAGGAAAAAAGGATATATAATCTGCTTACTTAGATCTTGTACAAGCCCCAGAAACTTGAATGAGCTAAACCAGTCAGTATTTCCTTCTGAATACAGAGGATAATCTCCATACTGTTCTACTTACTGTGAAGGTAGTCAGCCAGGTCACCACCATTACAGTACTGCAAACAGAACAGAAAGCTCAGTTAATGTAAGGCAAATCAAAGATTAAAAAGAAAAACAGTAAACTTCACTAGGATGGCAGGCTCATCACAGTATTTAAACACGTGTCAAAATACATATTCGGAAGTTGGCAGGGAAAACCCCATTCCTGTGGGTTCCTCTCCTGTCCCATTTCCCCCAAATGTTATGCTGCATTATGATACACCAGCATTAACCAGCTCTTGTGCACATCAGAGAGAAAGGTAAAACCAGAGCAAAGCAGAAGGGTCACCACTGGAGACACCACCAGCCAGCTGGCTGAGGAAAGCCTGGGAGCAGCCACAGCTGGGAGCTGGAATTCCTCACATCAGTGCTCCACATCATTAAGAAAAGTCAACAAGACCTCAGTGTGAAAACTGCAGAGGACAGAAAACATTTCACAAGCTTTGCAGGTAAGCTGTGTCGAAAAAATTCTCACCCCATGTATCTTTGAAGGAGATGCCACCCAGGAGCACCCATTTGACCCCGGAGGTAAAACGTCTGACTGCTCAAGCCTGTGCCAGCATGACCTTCTGACAACAGCAATATGAAAAATCCCCCTGCTGCTATCTGCACCCACACAGCTCTGCCTCTCAAAGGCTTGCAGCTGCAGATTAGATTAGCAAAGCATCACAGGTGAGACTGCCAGCAGGAAGAACCACTTGTGAACTCGCTGGGTCCGCTCAAAACAAGCTTGAAAAAATTTAAAAAGAGGGAGGAAAAAAGGGTAAAAACAGAAAAAGAAGGCACACACTCACCTCCATAACCAAGTAGACAGAGTTTGCCAGTTCCTGGGGAAATAGAAAATAGAAAAATAAGGGATTTACGCATTGAAATATTTCACACACTTAATTGCTGCACTTACATTTTAACAGATAATCTGTGCTCTGTTATGAGTCCGACTGAAGAGAGGGTAAAAACATTATTGGTTAATTCCTGGAAGATTGCTTACTTTGAAAAATGTCACATATTAAGCATGTTATTGCTTTCTGAGTGTGCATCTGTTTAACCAAGCTGATCTCCTGTATTGTGGCTTGGGTCTTCATGTCCTGTCCAGCCCTGGGGATTAACAGTGGCACGCAACACAGATGCTGGCACACTACTATCTTAGAGCCTTAATCATGTCCACTTTTAACTGGACCCTTTATAGCAGCTATGCCCACGTGAGCAGCTCTGGTCTGAGGAGAGAGATAAGAGCAATGCAACTTTGGGACCTGCAGTTCAACCTCACGGCTGAAAAGTGCCCAAGAGATTCACCTTCAGTTGCTGGTAAAAACCAGAAGGATCTGGGGTAAAAAATGCAACACTGGCCAATCAGATTTTCCACATGCATTAACAGAGTGCCATTATCAGGTGGGTAAAGCTGTCTGGATTATCTTGGAGGTCAACACCAGCTGAGACCAGGCCAAATACTGGTCTTCCTAAGTTCACTACAGGTGCTGCCCTGTGATGCTCTTCCCACCTTGAGAGTTCACCTCCTGCCTTGGCTGACCCTCTCCCCCAGGACCCTGCCCTTAGGGAACATGTACAGGACTGTATATCCACAGTACAATCACAGGATAGTGTGAAGTCCCCCACAACCATACAGCATGTGGTGACACCAGCAGCTGCCTGGCACGTGTCTAGCAGAGCCACCAAACTACTGGCAGAACAGACATGAAATCAGGCAGATCTTTCAACCCTAGGTAGACCCAGAAGGCCTAATGACTAAATCCTGCTGTTGAACAGAAGTCAGACAGAAGCAGACCTACTACATAAAAACCTGTGAACTAAGTCACTCCTAAAGCCTGCAAACTGGAAGTCACTCCTCAACTCAAGGCCCAGCCAGGGACATGAGCTGGCAGCAATTGCTTGAGTGGGTAGAGAAGGTCTAAAAGTAGTGGCAGAGAGCAAGAGACTTCATTTCCACGGCACTGGGGCAGCATGACTTCACTTACAGGCTGTTTAGGTACCTGGCCACCCAATTCCTCTTCTAAGCCCAACTATCATTTCAAAATCCCCAGCATCCACCCTACCAGCTGTTTGGTTTCCAAGCAGTCTCCAGTGTCTCCTCTCAGTCCCTTTCATCTTGGTCTGCCCACAGGACTCTACCTCCTGTCGAGCCTGTACCAAATTGCCTGCCTTTGTCAACGCCTCGAGTCCTCCACACCTCCCATCCTTTCTCTTCCGTCCTCTTTTAACCTCACGTGAACTCTGGGTTTCCATATGTTGGCTGGAAGATTGGTTGGAGGAAGAGGGGGAGAGAGGAGGAAGCTGAGTTACCTGTGATTTGAGAGACTCAAGCCACAGCTGCAGGGGGCACGGCCACCTTCCCCCAGAGAGGCTCAAGGCACCAGGCAGCCCCGGGTTCAAGTGTTCCCCAGAGCCCAGGGCCACCCTCGACTCTTACAGCTGCTCTCACTGCCAAGCCCAGCTGAGCTTTTTGAAGTCCCCTTGTTTGCTCAGAAAGCAATTTTCTCTGATACTTCAAGAAGGCGTTTGTTGCACTTCCTCGCATGACAAGCACTACTTTAAACAGGCTTTGTTTTCCAACCTCTGTGTTTGAAAGCAGCACACATTAAGTCATCCAATTTCATACACACTTTGGGTGAAGTGGGAAACCAGTCTGTGGTTAAAGCACCAGTCAGAGGGAAGCAGTGCAAGGAGAAAATCCCAAGCATCATTACAAGCTTTGCACATGACAAAGCGCTGAGGGAGAATGTTCAGGAGTGTTCGAAGCCCACCAGCTCCTGCTGTCCTAAGAAGGAACATTGGAAAGCCAAGGTTGATGTAAGACACCCAGGACTTTCAGTTCTACAGGAATTCCAGCCCCAGCTGTACCAGAAGACATGAGACACACCAGAAGTACAGTGCAGCTGCTCAGGGAGCTCAGTGCTGGGCAACTGCTGGGCACAAAGGAAGTGTCTAAAGTGGTTTTTGCATCCCACACCAAGTTCATCAGTGCCACTTCTTGGCTAAACATGCTGTGTTCATTGCAGCTCAATAACTCTATACATGAACATGTGTAGTGACAGCCAGGTTTGGGGAAGCTCAGTACATTATTACCTATGTAGAAAATGAAGAGGAAGCAGAGCTTACACAAACCAAGCCCAGAAGATATTTGTAATAGTTTGTTAGCCAACAACTAATGTACACTGAGCAGTTTGGTTGTTTTTCCACTCTACATTATTTAAAGACTCTGCAAACAAACATCATCAAGCAAGCCATTGATTTTTGGCAGCCAGCATGTACAGTGACCAGGGTTAAATAAGGACCTTCACTGGCAAGGGAGATGCTCGACTTCCCAACAACATGACCTTGGTGGTTGGTGGTTTTATCTCTTCACCCTCTGTTGGTGGGATAAGAGGGTAATGTCTAAAAAGCTTCTAGAAGAGAAGTAGATGGCTCCCTCAACCATCCCCTGGCAACTGCACCCTCTGAACATTCCAGCTCCCTGCTGCACACACACCCACTGCAGCAGAGGAACATCTAGCAAGGGTATTTTCAGATCACAGATGCCTGTAGCAGGGAGAACAACTTCCACATTTGCAGCTTCAGCATTTCAAGACCCAATTACCAGAAAGAGATCTGTAGAATTTTGCCAACAAAACTAAACATTTATTTCAGTAAGAGTCCCAGAAACAAGCTCTTGTTTGTAAAAAGCCAGTAGAGCTTACTCTGGTTACAACAGTCAGCTGTCTAAAAACACTTCTGGTTTCTCAAACAGGCTGATGAACTTTTCTCAAGCTGATTCAGCAGTAGAAACTATTTCTTGGCCATTTTTATCCTTCCACTATATTTATGATTTGTTCATTAACAAAACAAGGAAAAAATACTGCAAGCCAAATTTTGCAAGCTACCAGTTTCTCCAAAAAAAACCCCAAAACACACAGCCCACTTGTTTCCATATCAGCAACAAGAAAAGTGTGACAGTTTGCTGAATTTCTGCAGAGGCTCATGTCCAAGAAGCACTACAGATAATTTTCTCTGGACCTCTTATTCACATGTGCCAGTTGGTGCAGCCAAGGCTAATCCTGTCACTAAACAAGCTCAATGAAGGGAACAGCACAGAGACAACCCCCAAACTTTTCCTCTCATCACAAAGTGCAGCAGCACCCTGACCATGCTCCACAATAGCAGCAAAAGGCCTCTGCCAAAGGCATTAAGCTGATAATTAATCAGTCTGGATCATTGCCTGACTTGTAGTTCTTGCAGCAGAGGCCCCAGCAATGAAGTTACAATTTAATTGAGTGTAAAAATAGGCAACAGCCTCTGCTGTCTACAAATAACACACATCTGCTGATGGAAGACAAAGAAATGAAGAAATCTCATTTAGCAGTACACCATAAATCACCCCAGGACTGTGCTCTGCTAAAATTCCTCACTAGGACACTAGGAGGGATGGAATTATGGACCTCAAGACCCAGCAGTCCTGTCTTCCTTTAAATTTTCTCTCCACCCATACTGGAAGGTGGCATGATCTTCTTGGAAAGTGTGTCTTCAGGTGTGTCCAAAGGGAAATGTCTGGGTGTACCCACAGTTAGTCATCCTCCACCACAGCTTAAAAAGTCAGCAAGAGGAATTTTCCTTAGAAAAATCCTCCTCTGCACTCTACCCCTGCACTCAGCCTGCCACCAAGTTTAGAAAGGTGCTCAGGAAGGAACAAAAGTGGAAATGTGATTACACAACACTCAGGACTCTCAGCAGTGCAGTGTTCTCACCAGTATATGAGGGACCAGTGCTGTAACAGGCTCTGGGGTAAAACCAGTGAAGAATGGCTTCCACCTCACTCAAGTTTTCCTTTCTAGGAAGATTGGGGGATACAGGAGGAACACTTTGAACACGAATGTAGGTCCACTGTTACGACCATGTGCTGAACACCACAGGGCTGACAAAGCTCCTGCTGCCTGTAGGAGAGGAGCTGTACGGACTCAAGTCCTTAGGACTGGTTTGGTTACCCTCCTGAAGACCAGCCCGTTTGCTGGCCTCCCTCTGATGGCAAAGGTTCCTGGTTTGTACCACTCAGGAGATATCTCCCATACCACCTCTCCAACAGCACCCAGAGGCACTGCCAAGCCAAGATAATTGCCATGCATGGATCTCTGTAAGCGAGGCTGGGACTCAACCAACTGCACCAACACAACAGCAGTGTAGCAAAGCTGAGGGTCTGACAGTGGAAGATAACACCAACAGAAAGCTAAGCTTTTCCACCTTTTTTTTTTTTTGACTTTTGCCACTTCCCCCACTCACTGCAGCAGAACTACAGCACACTGCATCCTCCTGCCTTGCCAGTGGGGTCTCATGGAGCCAGTGCCCTCCTGGCCTATGGTCTCTAGTCATTGCTTTCTGACAGTGAAACTGGAATCATGAACACAGTCTGTAATAAGCACAACTTTGCTTTACAGGAGCCAATTCCCAGGCCAGTGGCACCTGGAAAGCCGCTAGCTCGGGCAGAGCCTCTCAAGCACACTGGGCTGGGGAAAAACAAACCCACTGTCCTCAAGAGATGGAACAAACTTGCAAAAAAAGTAAAATGTCTTTGTATTATTTCACTGGGGTTCACAGTTTGGCTTGAGCAGGCTAACCCCTGGAGAGGGAAAGGAAAACTGTCACGCTATGCAAGGATTATCTCCTGACGCAACACAAAAGAGACAATCTGAAATGTGAGAGCACCTACTAGTGCTCATCATCCTTTGGAAAACTGATCCAAAGCAAACAGCTATAAGGTATTTACATGCCTTTTGACCTCAAGTGAAGAGAAAAACATGTCTCAGAGCCTCCTGTGTTCACCTGTTCTCTATCCCTGGTCACC